GTGAAACCTCTAAGGATTGGGATAAGCAAATTGATTTGATAATGTGTATTTACAGAAGTCTTCCCAATGAGTCCCTAGGAGTATCTCCTTATGAGATGCTCTACGGCCGTAAGTGCCGTACTCCCCTCAAGGCTTTCAGACTCTCTAAGAGATGCCACCTTCAGTGAGCATCAGAATGTGCCCCAGTTTCTTCAAAACCTTCAACACATTCTAGTCTCCACAGTTTTGCCCATGATAATGTATTGAAAGCCCAGGAGAGGATGAAGACTCATTACGACCAGACCAGCAAAGTAAGAAAATTTAAGCCGGGAGACTTCGTGCTAGCATACTTCCCTATCCCAGGTTCTCCTTTACAAAACAGGTTTTCAGGACCCTACCGCATCAAGGAGTGCAGAAACAACCACAACTACGTTCTCGAGACTCCAGATAGGCGGCGGAAGACCCAGCTGTGCCACGTCAACCTTCTGAAGCAATATAATGGTACTCCTCCCACTGTCATGATAAACTATTCTACCTTCACAGAACCCTACATCCACAGTGAGACCTTCCCAGCTTCTCCTCCCGAAAGCACTGACAAGGAGTCAGCGCTTTCTAATTCCGAAATCCTTAATGATCTTCCCAAATACTTTCAGGATAATCATAGTGCACCTCTTGTCAAGATCTTCAGAGAACATCAGGAGTTGTTCCGAGATGACCCCCAAGAGTGTAATGTTACCCAGCACGACATCCAACTGCTCCCCGACACCCGGCCGATTCGTCAACCCTTCTACCGAATCAGCCCGAGCAAGAAGGAAGTCATGCGTGCTGAGGTGCAGTACCTCTTGGATCATGGACTGGCTACACCTTGTGAGTCCCCCTGGGCCTCACCCTGTATCTTGGTGCCCAAACCCCAAGGTAAGGTGCGGTTATGTACTGACTATCGTAAATTGAATAACGTAACAGTCAAGGATGCTTACCCCTTGCCAAGGATAGATGACATCCTTGACGCCATTGGTAGTGCCCAGTACTTGTCCCAAGTGGACTTGCTGAAGGGGTACTATAAAGTGTGTCTAACGGAGCGAGCTAAAGAGATATCTGCCTTTATCACTCCTTTTGGACTTTTCAGATATGAACGCCTTCCTTTCGGACTATGTAATGCCCCGGCCACCTTTCAGAGAGCTGTCAACCGTGTCATCCAGGGCTTGGATAACACATACGCCTACCTGGACGATATCGTCGTAGCATCCAACACCTGGCGTGAACATCTGCTCCAGCTGCGACGTCTGTTCTCAAAGCTCCTGACAGCCGGCCTCGCCATCAACCTGGGCAAGTCCACCTTCGCGAAAGGTAAAGTGCGTTATCTGGGTCATGTTATTGGGAGTGGCAGCCTAGCTCCGTTAGACTCGCACACTCAAGCCATCCAACAGTATCCACAGCCTACCACCAGGAAGCAGCTCCTGTGCTTCCTTGGTCTTGCCTCCTACTATCGTAGGTTTGTGAGAAATTTCAGAACAATCGCCACCTCTAATCCTATTAACCAGTCCCAAGCAACGGTATAAGTGGACCATGCAGCAAACCGTTGCTTTCGAACAACTCAAATTCCTCCTCTGTTCTAATCCCATTCTCGCCTCGCCAGATATCACAAAGCCTTTCGTCCTGCATGTCGACGCCAGTGGTACCGGCGTTGGTGGTGTCCTGATGCAACAACGAGGCGAAGAGGTTCTACCTGTCAGCTACAAATTGAAACCACACCAGAGGAACTACAGCACTATTGAAAAGGAGCTACTATCCATCGTCCTGAACCTCCAACACTTCGCTCCGTACCTACAAGGCGCCAGGTCTACAACCATCTTCTCAGACCACAACCCTCTCCGCTTCCTACATCAAGCCCAATTCACTAACCAGCGTCTTCTACGATGGGCTCTGTATTTACAAGATTTCAACCTGGAGATCCGCTATATCAAGGGTTCTGACAACATCATAGCAGATGCCCTCTCCAGAGTTTATGAAGTAGAAGCGACTCCATCTATTACTCCCCCACATAACTACGTACTTCTTCCAGAACCGCAGGCTTCGGGGGAGAGTTGTGACGATAATCTCAGAGATTGAGCCTGCTCTTCCCTCCTAAGTTCGTCGCTATACATCCCTATACAACTAATATGGAAGAAATATCTAAAAAGTACAACACCCAGGTTTGCCAGAGAGCGAACGTATTCAGCACCAGGAACACCTGATCCGCCTCTACCACTCGAACCACCAAACTACCTGTCCGTCGCCTGCTCATCGCTGATTGGCTGGTGGTCAGCCGCACCTGCTCCTCCTCCGCCACACTACCTGATGTCTGGGGCCACCACGACCTGCAGACCTCAGAATATCCAGTGCTTTCAACAAGTTAACACGTCTTGTTGGTAGACTAAGCTCTGGCTTACGTATACTAAGAGAGGTGGCAACTTAAAGCCAATATTCCTGCACCCATATTTTGCATTGTATATTGTTCACTTGTCTTAACGTAACTTTTCATTTTGCCATTTGATTATTCTTGTTATTTTGATTGATTGATTTTATGTTCCAATTTTATGTCCATTTTATTCATGTTTTGCTTTTCTAACGTAATTAAAATCTCATTGTTAAATTTACTTGTGTTTTGTGTCTTCCCATTACCTTACCACAGACAAAGTTCCAGATTTTCTCTTGTTTCTATATGTGACGAGGCCATACCCCTAGCTTTTGAAACAGCCGAACACCAACGCGTTACCGTCACAAGGGATTTAAACAAGGGGGCTGAGTGTTGTTTAAAAGCAGAATTTGTTATTATTCTGATAGCAGATTTTTACTGGGTAATGATGGACTTGAGGTGGTTTGCAGTGGTTGAACCCCCTGCACAGATACCATAATTAAGATGGGGATAGATTGGTGCACAATATAGTGAGAGGAGAGCAGAGTTAGGAATATAATATCTGATTTTGGAGAGTATACCAACTGTTTTAGACTTTCTTAGTTGTGTTGAATGTGGGTACTGAAGTAGAGTCTCTTGTCTAGGAATAGGCAAAGAAATTTTCCATAATTTTTAATACTGATGTTAATATTGTCTATCTGTAGCTGAATTGCATTCGATGATTTGCTTCCAAATAAGATGTAGTAGGTCTTTTCTATGTTTGGTGTTAGTTTGTTAGTTGACATCTATCTTGAGGTCATCTTGAGATGATTTCGGGGCTTTTTTTAGTGTCCCCGCGGCCCAGTCCTCGACCAGGCCTCCACCCCCAGGAAGCAGCCCATGACAGCCGACTAACACCCAGGTACCTATTTTACTGCTAGGTAACAGGGGCATAGGGTGAAAGAAACTCTGCCCATTGTTTCTCGCCGGCACCTGAGATCGAACCCAGGACCACAGGATCACAAGTCCAGCGTGTTGTCCGCTCCCATAAGTAGACTTTTTTTTTTTAATTCATTATTCACAACATTATTTAGTGTATGTGGGTTGTGGTCTGAATAAATGAGGGGTAGTATCATCAGCAAACAATATAGGTTTAAGAATATTAGAGACATTAGGCAGATATATTTTATTTATTTATTTATATACAAGAAGGTACATTGGGTTTGTGAGGATACAGAGCATGGTATTTACAATCTTGTAAAGCCACTAGTTCATAGATATATAAATATTGATGTTCCACTATGACGCCTCTCCGAGCATTACCACTTGTGCAGTCATCGGGAAGAGGAAAACCTTCGTGTTTCATAAAGAATTAAATATATAAGAATTGTGAGAAAATCTGTAGGAGCCATGATTAGGATTCGAACCTATGTACTGAATATATGCAAACAGGCACACATTCTGCTTATAAATCCATATACTTAGCAAAATTTAAAATTTCTTTGTCTTATTTCCCAATAAAAGAATAAACCTTATCACATTACAACAATTGGTGCATGTGACAATTCAGATCAACAATCAAATTTATGCAAAATATTTTAGAGAATTTCGGGATTTTTGTTTAGTGTGCCATGACAAATTTAATATTTTCATTGAATCCAATGAAAGCAAATAAATTAAGGGAAAACTGTTTTATTCATATTTGATGACTACGGCAATAACCATTACAGTATTTAATTTCCAAAAATAAAGGCAGAGTAATTTTATTTATTTTAAACTACTTAAATATAGATAATTTGTTTATAATGACATTTACAATTTTTTTTTATTTACAACAGTGCATGTACAAGTTTAACAGTTGTCGATGGAGTTTTTCATTATGAAATAATAACTTTTTATTTAATAATGTTAAGATAATAAAATTCTAACTGAATAAGCGTCTTAAAATTCATCAGCTTGTTCTCTCAAGGCCATTAATGTTTAATTTTATTTTATTTCTAGTTTTTGAACTTTTAGTTCACAATGCCAAAAAAGTCTTACCATAGTACTTCTGCTAAATGGTATCTCATTTCTGGATGTTATTTTAGCAGTATTTAGTATAACAGAAAACATCAGAGATCAAGATGTGAACTAAAGGAAATTAAATGTAGAGGGTAATACGCCAGGCAAATGGAGCTCCCCAGACCCAATGTTTAGGTAATGAAGAAACCATAGCAGGCAAAGATTCTGAATAATGTTGGTCCTCTTAGCTCTTTAAATGGCCCATCCTCTTACAAATTACGTTTCTTTTCCCTCATATACATTACCAAAAATGGCTGTATTGGAATTAAAAATAAAAAAGTTTTGGGTTCTCAGGTAGGTTAGGAGAGCAGGGAATTTCCCATAGGTTTCAAAACGTAATGAAACATTAATTGAAAGCGTCCTCTCACAACCTAACAGCCTAAGCCAGAGGATCCAAAACGGCAAACAGAATGGTACGTCACTTTCACGAGCAGCTTCCATTTTACACTACGACCATTTTTGGCCGTAGTGCCTATACGAGCGAAAAGCGACGTAATTAGTAAGAGGACGGGTTGCTTGCATGCCTACATTTATACTGCATGAAAAAAATATGAAGGAATGTTTTGTTTTGTATTGATGCAAATGACAGGGTGGTGGTACTTTATTTAATTTAAAGATTTATAATATTTATAAAATTTGTAACATCTTACAAACCATCTCGAAAGTTCACAGTTAAATCCCCTCTTTCTGTTATGCAAACCTATTTTAAGTCCTCTCATTATGAACAGTGCTTCTACTGCACTATTCTAGTTGATTTATTTCTTGATGAAAAGTGCCTCAATAATGACCAATAATATACAAATGTCTTGTAGTGCATCACTGGATATGCACCTTCATCTTCTGCTGCCTCCGTTACTAATTATATTTCTCTGCTCTTCAAAACCATCAAATCGGACAAACAAGACATTTCCATCATTCAAGGTAAATAAAAAACTTTTTTTTTTTTTGTTAAATTGTCCAATAAATTTGGATTTTGTACATTACTTTAATTATTTATGGTCTGAAAAAATTCCATTTATAGCTTTGCACCTACTGGATATGATTTTGAGTTACAAACAAGTCTTTTTGGAACCATCCTGTTGGTAAGTTAGGGACAGCCTGTATGCAGGGCAAGCTAATAAAATTAATTTTAATTTACACAGCATTTATATTTACCGGTAAATATAATAAATAGGCCTGCAAATAGTATCTTGAAATGCAATGTGGTTGTGTACTGAATTATATCCAGTAGCTGCTCCTATTATCCCCTTTAACAATGATACCAGAGGACAAATAGTAGCAGGATGTTGTAAATGCAGGGAACTCCTGGGGTAACTCAAAGGCTTTAAATATACATAATTAAACATTGTACACTTAAATACAATGACCAGAAACAAGTTCTCCCACAAGTCATTTTCTTTGAATTAGATGCTTGTAGAAAATAAAGTTCATGTAACAATAACATGCTCATCTCTTATATATTATGTTATATGAACATAAATAATGCTATCACTGAAATTTTTGTAATGGGGAATGATATTTATTTCAGAGGAGATGGGGTGCTGCATATTTTATACCCAAGGTGTCCAGCCTTCATACAGTGTTGCTAAGTTGTCCAGATTTGTTGCTTCTCTTATGGTGTAATCAACCTTAAAAAGGAACAGTCATACATTATGCATTATTTCAATTCATGACAATTCAGGAGCAGTACTCTACGCCTGGTTTTATGAAAAAGTGGGATTTTGCTGTGGATTAATTTGTAATGCAATATACTGTAGTGTTAATGATATCATGAATGAAACATTTTTATCTTGTACAGGTAATATCAAAATTCTTTATCTGTGTTATGCATTATTTATATTCTAGGCTGATGCTTCTCCATCCTTATGAAATTAGGAAGATAGGTAATATTAACAACTTACTTGCTCTGAAACGGATGCTCTTCTTGTTGGATCTAAATCTCTGCCCTCCAATTTTACTTTAACACGACGCCATACATTTAAAGCATATGCATTGTGCTCTTGTACAGCTGAAAAGAAATTGGGTTTTGAATGACCACAAAAAGCTCCTTTCTAAGCATGAGTATTAGATGTTCCCTATGGCAAGATCACAATGTCCAGCTGGACAAGTGTTGGTTGTCAGGGCAGTGACAGTCCACACTTGTGCAACAGGGATATTTGATTAATGTCCCCATCAGAAAGTAAATTGATAAACACACAAAGCCTTCCAAGCCAATCAAGGACTTGGCATCACAGGGACCCCAAGTAGCATTCTGTTCCAATAGCCATACAGAGGAACCTTGGTACTCGAACGGTTTCCAACTCGAACACACTCAAACGTTGTGTTTGTGCTTAGTAGTTGACCATTCGTTCAGCACTCAAACAAACATGCGTAATGGATGAGTCAGTTCCCCAGTAGCTGTCATTTAGTACACAACCCTCATTAAACTTCTCAGTAAACTTTCTCTAGTTTTCTTGGATATTTTTTATATTTTTATCATAAATAAATCACCATGTTGCCATAAGAGCAAAATTAGAAGAAAATTATTTAATTTAATTATTATATTTATTTGTGTATTTTTTGTGGTCTGAAAATGAATTAATCCAATTTATTTATTGTAAATTCTTATTGTAAATTCCCAGTATTCCTTATGGGAAAAAATATTTGGTACTCAAATGGCTTAGCACTCGAATGACCTTCTGGAAACAATTACGTTTGAGTACCGAGTTTCCATTGTATTCACAAATAACCACCACCTCCAACACCTCTCAGATGGCAGCAATCAAACTAACACCAAGACCCCCATTCTCAAGCCCCAAGCCTTATCCCATTTCTCCAGACTTGTCCCAAGAATAGATTTGGACAGATCTGATTCAGTTAAGTACTTGTTACAAGACTTAGAAGCTGCTGTTTATTTGCTAGGGTGATACGTATGTATTGGAATACTATACTTCTTTTATGTTTTAATTTTTTGTTTCATGAAGTGGCTGGTGATTTATCATTCCCATCTCTGTTTTAGGTTTATACTTCAATAGTGAGTTCCTCCTTTAAAGGTTTCCTAATACAGGTTTTACCTTGTTAAGAGGTTGGGGTTCTGGTGTTGGTTTGGGTGCTTACTTCTGCTGGCAGCTACAGGATGTGGCCAGTTGGCAAACTACCACTTGGTTTAGTGTGCTACTTTAAGAGGATTCAAATGATGCCAAATAGGGCTAGACAAGCCTTTGAGTGCTTAACAATTTGCTTTCTGTGGTAATAAGCCCAGGCTAGATAATACCTCTTTTTCAATGCCCCCCCTAGCACCAGTATTGCACATCAGACAGGTTCTGAAAAGATCCCTGTTGTGCTAGTACAGCATGTCACCTTTATAGGGGCCTGACAGCCGAGTGGACAGCGCTTGGGAATCATAGTTCTAAGGTTCCGGGTTCGATTGCCGGTGGAGGCAGAAACAAATGGGCAGTTTCTTTCACCCTCATGCTCCTGTTCACCTAGCAGTAAATAAGTACCTGGCAGTTAGACAGCTGCCATGGGCTGCTTCCTGGGGGTGTGTAACAAAAAGGAAGCCTGGTCGAGGACGCTAAGCCCCGAAATCATCTCAAACTAACCATAGCTAGTCATTTACTTGTCCAATAGGATATTCAGTGAGCTTGCCTTAGGAAGTATTGAAAAGGAATACTGTAACACAGAAAAACACAAAGAAAATATCCCTACATTTGTAGCTTAGTTGGGAATTTGTATTCCTCTCTCTATCCATACTCAAGAAATTGTTCTTAATGCAATCGTTTATTTTTTGTTTAACTGGCTAAAATCTGCAAGACTAATCTAAAGAAGAAGTCTATATATGTACATTACATGTATATGTAAATAAGAATGGAAGCACATGTTCTTCCGACACACATCAAATGACAAAAATAAAAATAAAGCATAAAAGTGTAATGAAACACCCCTTTTTGAACTCAACAGGATTATGAACATAGGCAACAGAAATGGCTGTCAGGGCAAAGCAAAAAAAATAAAAACTATCCAGGACAACTATCCTGGATGCTGTAAGAAGCAAGGTCCGGCTCTGGACTGGGTGGGAGATGCATCTCGTCCCAATCAACAGAGATATATGGTAAACATCCTACCTTATGCATAAGAAAAGAATTGTAAGGACTGAATCAGACAATGAGTGAAAAAGTAAGGCACTAGTGGAACCGTTTATGGCACCTGTAAACTGAAGCCTGTCTAAGCTAGGTACGGTACGGAAGGACACACAAATAGAAAATGGAATGATCACTAAAGACAACTCTCAAACAAAGACCTAGCTATAAATGCAAGACTCTGACTCCCACTAGAGCAAGGATTGAGCACAACACAACCTCTCACACCATTAACTACATATTCCTTCTCACAAACTTCACATTGGCAACCAATTTGCAAGGTTTATTTAGTTAAGAGTTCAGCATTAATCTCAATATGCTTCCCTGCCCATATGAAGGCGTCTTTGCTCTTTATGGCACGAGAGAGTTTTCGAGCCTGATTGGTAGAATTTGCCATGAGGATCCATTGCAGTAATCCACAGAGCTACTGAGGAGGCCAAACCAGATAAAAACCACAAATTAATCTATGAAAATTCCAAAATAATACAGATATCCTATCTTCATAATAAAGGAAGATAATCATGTTACATTTCAAAAGTGCATGACAGACTGGTGGGAGAGGGACTGAAATGGAATGATTTTAGATTTCTTTTATATTAGGTACAAATGTAATGTGTCATAACAAATAAATTAAACTAAAATTTGGGGATTTACCTTTTCCTGTTAGAGGATGTCTCTTGACTTTAGTTCTAGAGTCAGGAGTGGATGTTTTCGTAGGGGACATTATGGTACTTGACTGACGTAGTAACGGTGGTCTGCGAGGTTCTCCACTATTTTCTCTCTGACCATCTGTTTCCTCTTGAGCTTCCTCAACACACTGATTACCAAATTCGACTAGTAGATCATAAATGGTCCCTGTAAAAATTTGGCAATTGTTTAGCTAGTATATTCATGTCACAAAGTATTATTCAACTAACTGTATTTGTTAACAGATATTAATATTAATGAAAATATTATTTGATTGATCTGTTCTGGCTTACAGTTTTAGATTCTGGTCCTAGGTCTTGGTGGCTCGAGAAGGTCTCGGAGATCTGGTGCGATTTCCTATGGCTTAGCAGCCCTATATGGAGTAGGGCAGTAATTACGGGGGCTACTGAGCGCACCCTTCCAGAAATGTATGAAGATGGAATTACTTTATATTTATGTAACAATAATAGTAATCAAACTATGGCTACACTACACTGTTTTTTTTTAGAGCATAACAGGAGCACTACTTGTGATGCCAGGCTGGCCTTGGAAAGTCTGAATGTTTATGAGTGAACTCTCTGGAGTCACTCTGGCTGGATTGAGCTTTCCTATAGTGCCTCTATAGTACAACTATAACCCGACAAATTAAAATTTCACACTCACTTAAAGACTGATTTTGTTACCTATCTATTCTCACTTCTTACCATAATTGAACTATTACTAATATCTACAATCTTTGCCAACCTGTTTGATTAGTAACATCTCTTAGCTTCTGAAGGTATATTGATGCTTTATCTGGAGATAATGGATCATGAAGCATCTGTCGAATTAGTCCGGAAATAGCCTCAGAATAGCTGCGGTACAAAGCCAGATAATCCTCCACGCCAGCTAAGCCACCTTCACCCTCAAACTGAAATTAAATACTAGAGTAGTTTACTCACATCAAAATGATTATTAATGTTTTGTTATCACTTATCATTTTCACCAGATGGAATCTCTGACATAATGTGATATTAAGTAGATATGTCCTACTTATTCTGAGATATGACAGGGTGACAGCTCTATCAACACCACTGACAACATTACTGTATTAACTCAAGGTAAACACAAAGTTAAATCTTTGAGGTAAACCATGTATCAATGTGAATCATTTGAAGAGTTGGGTTACAAAGTCCCTTGATCATACTATTTAGCTATTCCAAGGTTTAATCAGTAGTTCAGTGATCATTTTTTTTATGTCAGCAGTTCATCTCGTGGGAAATCAAACAAGGGATCAAACAGTTCACCTCATGGGGATTTACAAGGTGGGGGGCCCCAAGAGATAATTTAGAATTATTCTTTCTCCTGGTGGGCTGAGTAGAGCCACTGAGGAATTAGCTGGGAAAAATGTGTAAATTTGTTACACACATCTTCCTCAATAAAGTACATTTCTGTTTTCAGTGAATGTTTATATATTGCCTCATTGCTTCTGCATTCACAATATGTGATGCATAACTGTAAAATGCTTACCTTTGCCATACTCTTCAGTAAAGCTCTAATATCAGACATAAATTTATGATGTGTTGTGAGATGGATGCGCAGTGAGACGACAGAGGAGCGCACACACTCCACAGACTTCCTCAATTCTCCGCTTCGGTCACCCACCAACTTGGTTAGGAGCTCTATATGATCTGCAAAAAGGACAATTTAAGGTCATTAAAACATAGGCTGCCCCAGAGAGGCCTAACCCACTATACGGTTGATGGGTTTTACTGTACAATAAACAAATAAAATAAGGTAAATATTGTACAGATTAGATATCAGCTAGATATTTGTTTAATTATTCTTTATTATGATTATTAATCACAAATTACAAAATACATACAAAATTCTTAAAAAATATTTTGTGATGCTATGCAGTAACATGAAATAAATATAAAATTATAAAAATACAGTTATCACCCTCATCCCATGCTCCCTCCATTCTTGACAAATTAAGTGCTAAAGTTCCTGAAAGCCATCTTTATGTTTACCATAGCAACCATATGCAAAATTGACTTATTGTTAATTTGCACCTGGTGTCCTTCTGTCTAGCTATTCTAAAGAGATTGTAAACTACACAAAATTACTTTGGTCATAACATCTTAAATGAGATTAGACACCATTTACAAGAGTTGAAGACAAGCTAAAAGTGCAATTAAAGTTTTCTTTCTGGGTGGCACCTCAGTAGGTTCCGGTTCCCACCCTGTATTCCCTCCTTTCTTTGTGGATTGGGGTGAAGCTGGCAGCTCAATAATGAAGGGGAAACCTGGGCTGGAACCCTGGGAATCTGGGCTAGAACCCTGGAAACCTGGGCTGGAACCCTGGGAACCTGGGCTGGAACCCTGGGAACCTGGGCTGGAACTCTGGGAACCTGGACTAGAACCCTGGGAACCTGGGCTGGAAGCCTGGGAACCTGGGCTGCAGCCCTGGGAATCTGGGCTGCCACCTGATGGCAGCCAGGTAATTTGGAGTAGATGCAGTTTACCTATTCCAACTTCCATTTGGGCTGTTCAACTTTTCCAATCTTTTTGTAAGGATGTCAATTGTTTTGAGACACTTCAACTTTTTATGCAGTTCCCCCCTTGACGGTGTTTTTTTAGTTATAATCAATTCATGCTTTCCAGCCCCATTAGTGGAGTCCTTACTCTCAGTGGGCCAAGAAAATCTCAGGAGCCTGACATTTGGAGGCAGCCTTGAAGAACCAAAGTAGTAAGGTCCAGAGAGGTAGCAAGGTGCTGCCTAGAAAGGGGGTAATTTTATTGCACTGAATGCTTTATTTTGATATCTTACCTATCATTTTGTTAAATAAAACAATGTCATGAATCTTGAAGACTACTCCCCAGGCCCAGCCCGAAGCCAGACTTGACTTTGACCTCCATTCACGCATGCTTCTAGCCATATTTATTACAATTTAGTTCTTGAATAACTTGAATACACACAATTTTCTAACAATCTTTTTAAAGTTAATTAAATTTCAGGAAAAAACAGTATTCTGCACTAACCTGAGACAGCAACTGAAGCATGTTGGATCCACTGAGTATTGACATCAGCTGGTATAGGACAGAGAGACACCAGCACTTCTTCTTGAGAATTTACAGTAGTATGGTAACGTTCTAATAACATACAACTTTCCTGACATGCATTCAAAACCTGTAGGAGTGTCACCTATTACTAGTTTTTATATTGTAGTACTGTATCTATAATAAACTTTTCCTTAAAAATTCTCTGAGATTTCATAATTTAGAAAATGTGCATTACAAAAGTTTGCGAACCACAAACCTGAGTGTGCGCCGAGATGTTGGGTGAATGGATGATGGCAAGTCAGTAAAGTGTGCATATTTTAGTAAAAATTGGGTAGGAGGAGAGGAAGGGTGAGAAGAAGGACATTACAAGAGTGTGTGTGAGGAAATAGTGTGTGAATAACTAATGGAATGTGGTAAGGAACCAAGCTGGGTGAAGTGGTTTGTGAGGAGCACTGTATGACTGGTCTTAAAGCAGTGGGGAGCTGCTGTGGATGCTTGGTATGGAATAGTCTTTGTTTATCCACCGTGTTATGTAGTGTGAATAATAGAATGGCCACATTATATTTTCCATTTTAATATATATATAACCTCCTTTCACTGTACTGAATTATTCACCTTTTCTGGGGGGAGCCCCGTCGGCTCCCCGGAGCTATCCCAGGCTGATATGCTAATGTCAGACTTTGGCATCAGTCATGTGTATGGAGTTCTTAGGCCTACCGGGGACCACGGCCAGAACCGGGCCCCCTCAGAGAGGCAAGGGGAGCAATGGCCTATAGAAGCCCCCGTGTAGTTGGAAGCATTCTGTCTGCCATCGACCGGAACAGGCACCCAGAAAGGTAAGCGCCCCAAAACAAACCCCTATTCTGGTTAAAATTGCTACCTAATACCGAACTAGTGGATAGAACTCCCCAACCGAAAACGAGCAAATTAGTGTGACGTCACACACTGCCGCGCCGCTGTCTGCGCAGCTCCCCCCTACCCGGGAGGGGGAAGGGGGAGCCCCAGACCCCCCGCGCCGGCTACCCACACCTCAGTTCTTGAGGCTGATGCTATAGGCGATGGTCGTGTGCTCTGGCTCCGGTGTCGCTACTGCACTGTGCTTTGAGTGTGGTGTTAGTTTTGTGGGTGCGAGAGCCAGGAGTTATCTTCAGTACTCGGGCTGCATGCGCCTAGGGCTGCCTTCCCTAGGTGCCCTGTAAGTACTGCCCTTGGGGCTTGGGGCCACCTTCCACAGGCTCCTCGGGGTCTGCCTCTGCTGGTCCGTTTTACCTTTCGGTTTTTCGGCCGCCTGTTGGGCTCTTGGGTGTTCTGTTCTCCCTTGTTACCGGCAGGTAAGAGGCAGTTTGCACTGGTAGGGGCGCAGGGTGCTGCTCAGCTTGTAATTCCCGACATCGCGGCCGGCTCTGTTCCTTGGGGTTCGCTGTCCTCTTGCGGGGTTTTGTTTTTCTTTTTGTTTTTGCCTGGTGGGGGGTTCTGTCATTTTATTCAGTTTGTTTTTGCCCTTCCACTGTTCTCCTTGGTGGCGCCCCCTGCTAGGTCCCCGTGAGTGTACACGTCCCTGGGGTTCAGCTTTAGAAGTTTGCTTGGTAGTTTTGGGCGCCGGTTTGCAGCACCCTGCCTGGGACTACCTGAGCGCGAGTCCTCTTAAAGTAAACGCTCAGGACCCTGGGAATCCCCTAGGGGGCGCGTGGGTCCGATGGATGTGACCCCGGAGTCCCCACTCGCTGTGTGCGAGTTTGAGGGTTGCTCGGTCCCCTTGTCTCAGGGTGACCCTCATTGTTTTTGCCTCTGCCACGCTGCCTGTTGGGTCGGTGATACTTTCGACCCTGAGTCCTGTGAGTGTTGCTGCTTGCTTGTGACTCAATTTACCCAATCCTCTGATGATTCTATTCGGGTACAGGCGGCACGTGCGTTGCAGTCTAGGTTTCGTCTGTTGCAACGCGCTCGGTTGGTTGCTTCCCCGGATGCCCCGGGGCTGCCCCGCTTTGCTTTTCGAGACCCGGACTTGGGGGTGGGGGTCGCTTCGATCCTGGTTCAGTCCACACCACCTCGTCCTTCCCCTTCTGTTCGTTCTGGTCCCCCGCCCCTGCTTCCGGCCCCGAAGCGTCTGAGGGTTTCGGGGTCGGAGCAGGGGTTACTTGATCTCGAGACTCGGGCAGCTTCGGGGGTTGCCCCTTCCGGGGGGGCGGCAGAGGCATTCGAGTCTTGTCTCCCGGCCGAAGCTTCAGGGTCTGACCAGTGGGCCCCCCTTCCTCCAGCTTTTCCGGCTGCTCCGTCCTTGTCTTGTGGGGTCGGGGCTTGGGGAGAGGACTCGGCCTCGGGTCCTGTGGTGACGGACCTCGAGGCTGGGGAGGGGCTGACTTGGGGGCCTTGGGCCCCGCTGGACCCCGCCTGGGTTTTTCTTCCCACTGAGCGGGGCTTATTGTTACAAGGAGTGGGGTTTTCTTTCCTCCCCTCTGCGTACGAGTTGGATTTGGTGTCGGCCCCTCCCCGGGTACGGTTCCGTGTTCCCCCGGGTACGTCGGTTCCGTCTTTCCGGAGGTTTTCGGCTTATCGCATCGAACCTGGTGTGGTGCGAGCGGCCTTTGCAGCTTACCTCCTGCGTGACCCGGATTATGCCTCGGAAATGGATCCGTCCACGTTCAGGTTTGGGACTTCGTTCCCTTTCTGGCTCCGTTACGAGGTTCCGGAGTCATCCTGGCTAGCAGACTGCCCCTTGTTTGGTCTGGATTCCTGGCATTCCTTCTGTCGTTCCCGCACGCTGGAGTGGCGGGAAGCTTCCACGGTGCTTCAGGTTTTCCTGGGGGGTGAACTTGAGTACCTGAATGAGTGCTTGTTTGCCCCTGCCCTTCCCCGCGATGTGGGCGTTATTCAGCTCCATGTGCAGGTTCCCTCCCTTTCGGCGGCGCTCGTGGCGGAGGACTTGCGCGCTCGGGGCCTTTTGTGTTCGGCCTTGCGGTTCTTTTCCCTCCTGGAGCTGTCTTCGGATTGGCTCGTGGAGGATGTGGGGACACTTGGGTCCGTCCCGGGGTCCGGCACCTTGTCCTCGGCTGCGCGTTCGTCGGCTGCCTTGTTGAAGCTGTTCACGCCGATTTTGCGGGATGCGGTTTCCCTGTTCTATGCTTCCCGTCTCGCGTGTCGGCAGGTGGTGCTGGGTTCCTCCGTGGAATCTGCTTGGGCTCTGGCTCTTAGGCGTTCTTCACCTTTTTGTCCTCTCCTGTTTGGGGAGTCGGCCGTGGCGCAGTTTATTCAGGCTGCGTCGGCGGCTTGTCGTCCGATGTCGGACTTGTTGGTTTTCCGGGGGTCCCGGGGTGGGTCTTCCCGGAAAGGTCGTGCCAGGGCTCGGGGTTCCTCTCGTCGTGGTAGGCCTCTGGTGTCAGGTTTGGGGTTGGCTCCTCCTGCGGACCCTCCCTCGTCTGGTCGGCGCGGTGTTCGCGCTGTGCGGGGTTCTGGGTCTCGTAAGGGTCGCCGGCCCTTTCGCGGTTTGCCCCTTTGACGGGGCGATGGGGGGGCGGCTTGCGCTGTTCGCCCGCGCCTGGTCCCACGATTCGTGGGCCTTTCGGGTCGTGTCTCGCGGCCTGCGGTGGCGTTGGGTGGCCCCTCCCCCCTCTCGGGGGTCGGGGCTGGCGGGGCAGGCTTCTTTCCCTGCGCTCTGTCGAGTCGTCTTGGAGTGGGTACGCTTGGGCGTCGTCGAAACGACGTCGTCCCTCAGATGGGTTTCCCGTCTGTTTCCGGTTCCGAAACGGGACTGCGCGGACCTGCGGTTCATTCTGGACTTGTCCCGTCTGAACCCCTGGGTTCATTGCCCCTCCTTTCGGATGACTACGCTGTCTCAGGTTCGGCTCCTCTTGGTGCCGGGTGCTTGGATGGTGTCCCTGGACCTCCGGGACGCTTATTGGCATGTCCCGATTCATCCGCGGTTCAGGGACGGGCTCGGTTTTGTAGTGGGGCGTCTGAGTTACCGCTTTCGTTGTCTCCCGTTCGGGTTGAACCTGGCACCTCGCGTGTTCACACGCCTTACACGGGTTGTGGTGGCTCGTTTGCGTCTCCTAGGTGTTCGGGTGTTGGCCTACCTCGACGACTGGCTGGTTTGGGCTCCCAGCCAGTCAGCTTGCTTGCTAGCCAGGGATTTGGTTCTTTCCCAGCTCGCCGGGTTCGGGTTCTTGGTGAACTGGAGGAAGTCCCATCTGGTTCCCTCTCAGGTTCGGACTTGGCTGGGTCTCGTGTGGGACTCTCGGACCGCCTCCTTGTCTCTCCCTCCGGAGTCTCTCCTGCGGCTGCGGTCCCGCCTTCGTCTGTTTCTGGAGGGCCCTCGGGTCACCCGGCGGTTGCTCGAGGGGCTGTGCGGGAGCCTGAACTTCGCGATGGTGGTCTACCCGCCGGGTCGGGTTTGGCTTAGACGGCTGTTCTGGTTCCTTCGGGGTTCCCCCTTCCGCCTCTCTCGCGATCGCAGAGTTCGACCCCCGGGGGACTTGCGTCGGTTGCTGCGTCACCGGCTTCCTCTTCGGGTTTTTCGGGGTTCAGTGCCTTGGCGCCTACCCGAGCCCTCGCTCGATGTGTACACGGATGCGTCGTCTCTGGGCTGGGGTTTTGTGACCAGTGCTCACCAGGCCGGCCAGGGGCGTTGGGATCCGTCCTTCCGTCGAGCTCACAGTACGGTGCGGGAGTTCGCGGCAGTGTGGTTTGCTCTGGGGAGGATTCGGGTGGCCCGCGGATCGACGATTCGGCTCCATTCGGACTGCTCTCCGGTGGTTCATTGGCTGAACCGCGGGGGTTCGATGCGGTCCTTGTCTCTTTGGGGTTGGTCGCTTCGGGTGACTCGTCTGCTGAGTTCTCGGGGTTTGGCTCTCCTGGCGGTTCACGTACGGGGCGTGTCCAACGTCTTGGCCGACGCCCTGTCTCGCTTCGTTCCCCTCTCCACGGAGTGGACGGTCGACGACGAGTCCTTCCGTTGGCTTTGCCAGACGTTCGGGCGCCCCGAGGTGGACCTCTTCGCGTCGGCGTGGTCGCGGCGTCTTCCCGTTTATGCGGCGCCCTTCCCCGATTGCGAGGCCGTCGGGGTCGATGCCTTTCGTCCCACCTGAGGGCTTCTTCTCGGCGGCAGTATGAAGTTTCCTGGCGGTCCTTCCGTTTCTTTTTTCGTCTTCGTCGTGTTAGCTCCTTGTCTGTTCGGGTGGTCTTGTCCTTCCTCTCGTGGTTGTTTCAGGACCGTCATCTTATGCCTAACACTGTCGCTTCGTATCGTGCGGCGCTGGCGGAGCCGCTTCAGCTTGCTTTCGGTATCGATGTTACGTCTGCGCCGTTTCGCAAGCTGTCTCGTGCATTGTTTCACCTCCGGCCTGCTCATGCGTCGCCTGAGCCGTCCTGGTCTTTGGACAGAGTGCTCGCTTTCCTTTCATCTCCTCGTTTCGTTGTGGCCCCTTCGGTCCAGGATTGTTTTTCCAAGGCACTTTTCTTGTTGGCTTTGGCCTCTGGGGGTCGGGTAGGGGAGCTTCATGCTCTCCTCCGGCGCAGGGGTTTCTGCTCTTTTGGTCGTGGTGATAGTTTTGTTCGTTTGCAGCCGTCTCCTTCTTTTCTGGCGAAGAATGAGACTGCTGCGTTCCGGAGGGGTCCATGGGTGGTTGATGCTTGGTTGGTCAGGCCGGGGGTGCATCATGTTTTGTGTCTGGTTGCGGCGCTTCGCCGTTATTTGCGCGCCACAGCTTCTGTGTCCGGGGACGCGCTGTGGGTTGATCCGGTTTCCCTTCTTCCCTGTTCGCGGGTTCGGGTCTCTCAGGTCGTCCGCAGGGTTGTTAGGTCCAGCCAGCCTGCGGTCTATCCCCGTGCCCATGACGTTCGTAAGTTCGCGGCTCTTGCTGCCGTCTTTGGGAATATGTCTTGGTCTGATATTCGGGCGCGGGGATTTTGGCGGTCGAACAGGGTCCTGGCTGCTCGTTACCTTGTGAATGTCCCTGGCCCTCGTCGGGCCTGTGTTGCTTTGGGTCGGCGGTTGCAGCCAGTTGTCTCGGCTTCGAGTTGAGGGGTGAGCGACGACCGCCTCCCGGGTAAGTCCCTCTTTTTCTGTCTGTGGGTAGTTAGCTCCGGGGAGCCGACGGGGCTCCCCCCAGAAAACCAGCGTTGAATGTAATGAAACGTCATTTTCTGGGTGAGTCCCGGAGGCTCCCCGGCATCCCTCCCTCCCTCCGGTCGGCGGTTTTTCGCGTTTTTGACATCCAGCCTCAAGAACTGAGGTGTGGGTAGCCGGCGCGGGGGGTCTGGGGCTCCCCCTTCCCCCTCCCGGGTAGGGGGGAGCTGCGCAGACAGCGGCGCGGCAGTGTGTGACGTCACACTAATTTGCTCGTTTTCGGTTGGGGAGTTCTATCCACTAGTTCGGTATTAGGTAGCAATTTTAACCAGAATAGGGGTTTGTTTTGGGGCGCTTACCTTTCTGGGTGCCTGTTCCGGTCGATGGCAGACATAGAATGCTTCCAACTACACGGGGGCTTCTATAGGCCATTGCTCCCCTTGCCTCTCTGAGGGGGCCCGGTTCTGGCCGTGGTCCCCGGTAGGCCTAAGAACTCCATACACATGACTGATGCCAAAGTCTGACATTAGCATATCAGCCTGGGATAGCTCCGGGGAGCCTCCGGGACTCACCCAGAAAATGACGTTTCATTACATTCAACGCTGGTTTTTTCTCTCTTGTGAGTTTATACAGCCACACCCCAATGAAATTGGGAAACAGGTTAATGATAATGTACATAAATGTATATTTTAGTGAATTATTAATATATGAATCATGCCCTTAATAATATTAACCATGTACAAATTAATGAAAAAATTTCCTTTGAAAAAAGTCATTCTTGCATATTATAAAATATAAAAACTGACCGAAGTGAAGCTGGCATCCCATGTGATGGCATCAACAGTATGCGTCCGTAGAGCCTCATAGTGAAGCACAGCGTTACACAGGGAAGCAACTTCCTCACTTCTCTGCAACAACTCAATTACACCACTCAGCGCTGCTTCAACACCACTGCTAAACTCCTCAAGTGCCTATGGAAGTTAAACAGAAAAAAATAAAAGCACCCATTTGAATTGAATACTGTACAAACATTATGAGGTAAACAAAAATCCACCCATGTTTTCATGTTGCTGAAAGAAGACCCTATAAAGTTGTTCAACTTTCACAGCCCTTCTGATGGGCCCTGCTCTTGCAGGTTCCTTAAGTACGATTCCTTAATTTCCTTAAGAAATTGAGTCCTAAATTTCCAGCACTTGGTCCCTTTTACACTTCACGAGATTATGCCACACTGTTCTTCCCACCACTTCTCATGCACTGTTCACAATCACTTTTTTCCCACACCGTGTATGACCATCTTTTTCTAAAGCTTCCATTCCTTCTCCTCCTCCTACCCTTGAATACACACACACACTTTATCCCTACATCATCATTCATTAACTTACCATAACAAAACTATTCCAATGCACTCTCCTCCCTCTTATGAGTTTTCACGCTCATGCCATATAATTTCTTATACCTGTACAAAAGGATAATCACTGCCAATCATTAATAGCTGCTTGATGGGGGTTCTGGGGGTTCTAAGTTCATACACTTTCTTCTACTCCTAAAGCCCGGCCCGAGGCCAGACTTAACTTTGATTTCCATTCATGCATGCTTCTAGCCACATTTATTACCGTTTAGTTCTTCTAATCAGGCCTTTTTTTTTGTATTAGCCACCCTTCTTTCCCCCTGACTCAATCTACTCTCAATGTTGCTTGCACATTTCCTCTTTTTCTCACACACCTCATGTGTTTATAGTTATGAATCACTTCCAGCACTTCTCCAATCACACTTCAGGATTGTGAATAACTAATGAGGTCAAATTACTTCACTAAGTTCATACACTTTCTTTCTCTCTACACTTTCATACCATTACTCTAGTCTGGATCCACTTTTACCAGTTTCTTTCATACGTACAACTTAAATGTTTAATTATTTGTATCTGCTAATTATACACAGTATTTACAAACATTTTTGTTAATTTACTGTATAACAGAAATTACCAACGACAGTATATTAACAGAGAAATTCAGAATAATTGAATCTATATCAAGACTATACATGATAACAATTATGTGCATACCTTAGCAATAGATGGATTTGAGCCAGCAGCCCATTTTAGACGCTGCTCAACATTTGCTGTCATATTAGTGTATTTCTCCCTTAGTTCAGTAACATTCTGGTGCAATGCAAGTAGCTTACTCACATTACCTCTTAAGTCTCCAAGGAGGGCACTACGACCTGGATTAAAAATTTATGTTAGTACTGTACGAATAATTTATTTTCAAGGATCAAGTTACTTTTAACTATTTTATGAGGTACATAATGGACTACTTACAATGATTAGTAGACTATTACCTATGCCAAATCCATGCTTTATTTACAAATATTAAGGCAATAATCACATTATGATAACATGGACTGTTGTATCTCATATGCAAAATGTTGTCTGTTGCTACATGAAATATAATTCCCCAGCTAAACACTTTCACTGCTATAAATGATTGCTGTTTATGGCTGAAGATAGTGTTATGCTGTAACAGAGAACTTTGTTCAGTGTGCCTAGAAAATCATTTCCAAATCATGTAATGTTTGAACGATCCTTTAGGTTTCGAAATGGGCACCTGGATCTGGTAAATGCTGCTATCTGTTGAACATGAGGTTCCTCTGAATATTGTAGGGAAAACAAAGACCAGAAGAGACACATACATCAGTTTATGTAAGCAAAGAAAGGAGAAATGCAAAATACATATATTGTACAAAAGGCTCTATCAAAATGCAAACCCCTAACACAGGGTTGGTCCCACCTGCGTTTGAAACTGGGTACCTGGGCACTTCTTTTTGTTTCCCTTCTGTCCGTGGAGTATGCCTTGGTGTGGTTGTTACCCTGCTTCTGGGTTGTCTACTCTGGCTCCAGGCACTTAGCTTGAGAACAAGGAAAAATCCAACAGTAGGGCAAAATACATAGCTCCAGGGTGAACAGCCCATACTAGGGCACACAGCTCAAGATACAGTCCGTATTGGTATAGTTGTAGCAACTTTGTCTGGGTTTGAGCCCTGGCTAGGGAGGATTGACTGCACATCAATCCTTAACTATTCAGCATAACTTACACAGCAGTAACTGGGGACTCAGATTTTAAGCGATTGGCAGGTAAAAATTAGCAGTGTAAGGCTTAACATGAGCTATGGGAAGATAAATCTATAAGCCTGCTAACAGGAGATAGAAGTTGCCTATTCCTGTACCCACCTGTATTAACAAAATTTACTTTAGGGGAAGCCGAGAGCACGAGGGTTCACAAGTTAGCACAACAGGAGCCTAGAGCCCACGGATCAGGTTACATAACCTGGGGACAAGAATACCAAACAGTCCCAAGAAACCCCATTCGTGGCCAACTATACAACTCTTAAAGATGGGAATGTGTGTCTACAGAAATCCAAAAAGACAGAATGTCATGGAAATATAAAAAGAGAATATCCGATAGAGCTCACAAGGGCTGCCTTGTGATAAAAGGATAAGGAACCTGTAATAATAACCCCATCACAAGACTAAGCAGGTAGGCTGAAACAAGAAAAAGCTTACTCCCCCTTCCCCAACAAAGCCCAGAGAAGCCTCCGCCTGTAGAGCTTGAAGGTCAAACACCACAAGAAAACTTTCACTTCCCAAAAATGCACTGGAAGACAACCCAAAGCCCAGCAGATGCAATGGAGGCTTCATGAGGCATAGGAGGCAAAAGCCATTGCAGAACCTCCTGAAAAATGACATCAAGAAAGGGGTAAACCTGGAGCTGTAGAGGAGAAAATGACTCGCTAGAATGCCACATCCAGAAAGTGGGGAAGAACCTCAAGCTCCCATAGACAGTATGGGTCTCAGATTCTGGTAAAATCCATAGGCTTAGCATTTATTACCAGCATGTAAGTGCAAGGAAGCTACTGAGGGGGCCTTCCCTAGAAATAAATAATTCTCCTATGTGGAGACAGATACTGAATATAGAGGTCCAACTTGCTTGGTTGCACAGGAGGAGCAACAACATGCTGCTTGAGAATGTCTTCGTAGTGCCACTGGTGACCAAGGTGTTGTGCTGTTACTCTCTGGTGAGTTGTCCGCAGGCCTTCTGCTTCTGCTTCCCAATGTCTGTGGAATGCCATTAATTTGTTATACTGCATATAAATATTATATGATACTTTTATAAATATTATACAATTATATGAAAGCAAGAAGTGAAGCAGCACTGGCTTTACTAAAAATGAAGTTCTGGAATATGGAGAACAAAATTTTTAATTATCTTGGAGGATCTAAGATTAAATATCACTGAAAGTGATACATCACTTTGTAACCCTAAGAAAAATGGAGGAATTGAGACAAAAGAACCTCAAAATGGAAATTAAAGGCAACAGAAGAAGGAAAGATGGACAATGAAAGAAAGTATCAAGCAGGTGGAGAATGTGACTGAGGAATGCAGAACATGACCAGATAAGAAGAATGCAGATGAATGTTGTTGAGATGGCAAACAAGTTCATTAAAGTAAAAATCAGAAAATGGAAATAAGGCTAGGTTAACCCACCTGAGGAGGAGTTTTTTCCTAACTGCATTTAGATGGTGCGTGAGTGTGGTTGCTGCAGAGGTGGGAAGAGCAGGATCAAGGCCATGACGAGTGATACAGCATTCCAATGCTTCTTGAACTATTCCTTCCAAGCTGACACGACCCTCCGTACCAACATCCCGTGCCTCTATGTAACCTGTAATCAATTTTCTTTATGGAAGAAGCACTTAAAAAGAGAGCATTGAGCATAATGAAATGCCCCCTTTTTTAGAAGCCCCTCAGGGGCAGTCCAAAGCTTACAACAAAAATCAAACATTCAAAGAGAAATGTTTAGCTCAAATAAATACCAAACTCAAAAGTATTTCAAATATCTTCTACTCTGGTCAAGTATCCAAAGTTACATGTCCACTTACCCGTCACATTTATACCAAGCTTCTGACTATGCAGCAAGAGTAAGTGAGTCGCTAGTTGTGAGGGCAAGCCAAGCAACAAGAGAGAAACACAGTCACTGGCATATCGCCGCACTATTCTCTGTAACCGGTCTTCATCACACAAATTGTTTCTGCTCCTGTTACCTGAAAAGGGTCAGTAATACTATATTAGTAACATCAGCCTATAAAGGTAACTTAACTAAAGCAAATAACAAAAATTCCATTCTGTAATTGTGAACATGTATATTTTTTTTATACAGATGAATCTTCTGTAATTTTACTTACTGATCATGGCCAGAACAACTGTAGTTTTTAAATTATCTTTTGCTTTGGGATATTGCATCCAAGGTTTTACAGTACAATATGATGCATCTCATTCTTTACAATGCTTATCTAACAGTGATAACTGATTAGTGTCAACGGGAAGCAAGAGCTACATCTTTTGAGACCCACGTCAGCTATTTATACCCAAAGAATTTGAATTTTTTGACATTCTACTGCATTCCTATATCATGTCTGCAACTTTAACATAAAAGAAGGCTAACTAACCACAACTTACCAACTGATTCTTCTCTTTTGAATGAAGGTGAAGACTGATAAGCTGTAGTGAAAAATTCAACTATAGTCTGCACCTTCTTCACACGAAGCAAACATCTTAATACTTGACGAAGACCTGGGTCTTGTAGAGGAGCCTAAAGAAATTATTATTGTTAATAAATGCTTATTATTAATAAATGTTAATTATTATTATTATTTATTATTAGTGTTATTACTTCTAATTTCATATGTAATACCTGGGATTAAGCTTTACTCAAGGATGTTGAACAGCTATGTTTCACAAAATATGGTCCTAATATCTTCAGTTAATCAAATTTATTTGCTAAAGTGTAAATACCATTATTTCAGCAGCTTCTCTTGCTGTGTCGACTCTAGGCCAGGGCTGCGGAAGGGGAGCCAGGCTAATGGTTGTCATCAGTTGGTCCAGCTGTGTCTCCACCGCCTCAAATAATAAATGGAAGCCCATAAGGAGCATCTGACCTTGGCTCATGTCAGCACTAGAGGTGGCATTAGAGGTTCCTCCTGATGTGATCCTTTCAATAACTTCTATCAGCTTCTGATGGAGTGCTGTTGCCTCATGCAGAGCATCTTCATGGCGAGGCTGTATTATCAATAATGGGTTACCCAATTTGAGAACAGCAATGGCTAAACAACACATATATCATACTTAAACAAAGCTATATGAATTAATAAACAAGTATCCAATTTTATTTGTCTATAATTTGACTGGTCAACCATGATAGTCCATTAGTCTTCTTTTACTACAGTATATGCATCTATAAATTTCTATGAGTACTAAAACATTTTTTTAATATTTTAAAAGCCAAGGAATGAAAATTCATGTGTGTGTGTGTATTTAGCAAATTTTCTATGTTCAATATAATACTGAACTGTGGAAAACTAGTTATTTCATTGGAGACATACATAAATTTTAATGAACAATTAGAGTGAAGGATCAAGTCCTCATATATTAAACTGTCTGCATGTTTCTTTATTCTTACGGATAAAAATGGAAATACAGTACTCTACAAGGTCTGTTGGGATTTGAACTATGCTGTAATGAAAAATATAAAAATGGACTTTTAAAGATAATGAGCAAGTCTCACAGGCATCATAAGTATCATCAGACGAAGGTGTGTGGTGAGCTGTTGGCAGAGTGTGGCGGGTGAAATAGGGGCACTGGACACAACAGACTCGAGTTCTGTAGCTAGATTAACCACCGATGGTTCTCCGCGCCAAAATAATCTAACACCCTCTACGATGATAATGCCGCTTGTATTTAGGACCAGTTCCTGCAATGCAATGTGAAAAGGGAATTAAGGATATTTTTAATGCATTAAATGATACAATTATTTTTTTTCACTTCTGCAAGTATGTTATTCATACAAGTTGAACACACTCTCATTTACATAGTGAATCACTCCAGCCATGGGTGGAGGAGCTGGCTTCCCGCTATTGGAAGCTGGTACTCCAAGAGCATATTAAAGGAAGAAAACGAGGGGCCACTTTAAAAGGAGTGCTTCATATTATTAGGTGTAATTGGCTCAACACCCCTGGGTGCTTCTCGAGCCAATTAGAATTAGAAAATTAATTCATCAGACCCCCCTCTAAGAGAAAACCCACAAAAGGACAAAACTATAAGGGAGACTTTTATAAGCTAAGGACCATAGCCGAATCAGGTTACCAAAGGAGGGAAAACCTACCAAAAGGTCAGGAAAGTTAATAAGGCCCTAGCACATAGAAAGGAGCAGTTTCTCCAATGCACCAGGGAAAGAAACCTGGCAGTCATCAAGCAGAAAGTAGATGATGCAAGCATAATATCAATGTATGTGCAAAGAAAAGGCTAATGTAAACATATTCACACACACATATAAACATGAGTTTAAACCCAGGTAACAAGCTAAGTCATGTCCTCAAAGCATAGGAGGTTAAGGCCTTTAACTGGGTTACCCATTTGTGATATATTGAAGAAATATCAAAGAATGTTAATATTCAACATTGAATCATCCAAAGGACAAATGCATGAAAGATTACAGAAGGTGCACGGTGTGCGTCTTTTACATGCTTCTTAATCTTCTCTCTTCCTGTGTGTTATGTGTATGTGTTTTGCTTGTACACAGTATTAATTGACCTGTATACTCACTACTGACACATACTACCCATCAGCTTCCCTTCACAAGCTAAGTTATGTGCACCATCCACCTTGCACAACCATGTTCTGCAGAACTAGAGTACTGTACAGTACTGTTATAGCATATGCACTATTAAATTATTACATTACTATATACTGTACTATACAATATTTATTATAGTTCACTAGTTTCTAAATTCATCTGCAAATTCTGACAGTAGTACTTATATACGAGCCAAATTTATTAAAAAGATTTATGTAGTTTTATTGGTAAATCTAATTTTACTTCTAATAAAATTTTAAATCTTTACATTTTATTTAGACCAAGTAACACTTATCAGCTTATTAAAGTGAGTAGTTATGTATACGTACATGGAGACTGGCAAACACATCATGGAGGGCAGATATTGCCTGAATCACAGGGGTCTCCTGAGGGAAGGCTGGAGGAGAGTGTGTTGTGAGGAGAGTGACCAGCTCCACCATCCCACCCAAGGTCACCATGCTCTCACGTAACCACCAGAGTCCTCCGATAGTGAGGTCCACAAGACCCTCCCCAGTTCCTGCAGCCGTCTTGTCTGCACGTAACCTACATGGATAAATACACATACAGTTATTACAGAATTATTATTATTGCTGCTGTTACTACTGCTACTGTATTATTATTATTACTATTATTAGTACTACTGTATTATTATTACTACTATTGTTAGTATTACATATTATTATTATTACTATTAATTGTCATCCACACTTCTGTGGTAATAAACATTTCATTCACCTGGGCTCTTCGAGACTCGAACCACGAACCCCACGTGTGTGTGTGGCAGAGGCTCTATCCACTCAGCTATGAGTAGTCTTAATGGGGAAAGATTTCAGAAGCAACTACTGCTGCTATGCTGGAATTTTCAACTTTCCCTAACTACTGCTGAAGCTCAGAGGAATTAGTGATCCACCCCCGTGTCATATAAATTGTCATCCACACTTCCGTGGATGTGTAGATGCAGTAGTTGCTTCTGGAACCTTCCCTTATTAAGACTACATAGATGAGTGGATAAAGCCTCTGCCTCACACTCGTGGGGTCTGTGGTTCGAGTCTCCCAGAGCCCAGGTGAATGAAATTACTATTGTTGTTATTACTTCTACTGTACAGTACAACCTCGATTCAACAAGCTATATGGGACCAATTCCAACTCAATGCAGTGAGGCATTCATTAAAACTGGACATGCCTCCAGAATGCATTTCCCATGCCCTATGAACCTAATTTCACTTAAATGTTCATTTCAACCTATAATATAATAGTCAACTATCAAATGAACATGTCCGAAATTTTTTTTTTAACCACATCTAGCTCATTTCACTCGTCCCCAGCCTCAAAACTAATTGTCAAAAGTTAGCAGGGCCATACCTAAGTGAACAAAAACCTTGCCAACTCAAAAATTAAAACAATCATAGCCATTAAACAATGTCTGACCTACAATATATACAGTACTCTATTAAGAACATAAAATCATAAATACCCACTTTTGTATTTAATAAAATGAAAATCATAGTTAGCACATACAGTATTACATGTATATTGCAAATAATCCACAAATTTAAATCAAGAAAAGTAAGAACATATATGAACCTGGCACTGGTAAGCTGTGTAAGAGAATTAAGGAGTGCACAGGTCATGGCTGCCACTCCTGATATCCCGTGGTCCGCTACTAGTGATGATATTGCCAATGACGTCTCTTGTACTGAATTCACAACCATGACTCTATCGTTTAGGCCCTCGGCTCGCATTCTCTCATAAACCTGGTTTTAAAATAAATTATAATTATTGATTAGTTAAATCACTTAAAAGTTTATACTGTATTCTAATCATTCCTATGATATAATATATTACTATTCATTAACCCTTAAAGTGCGCATCACGTCATATGACGTGCTGGACGTTGTTCCAGTAAACTGCGCATCACGTCATATGATGTGTTGGAGTACTACGCAAGATTTAAACAGCCCGCGGACACACGGGGTTCACCACACCTTCATCAGGGCTCTTGTAAACAGACGCCATTTTTAAAAAAAATCGTGGGCCAATCTCCCGGGTGTTATTGGCCTCAGTATTGAGTGAGCAACCAAGCCTGACGCACGCAGCATGAGCTAACAGCACTGCTATTCAGCTTGTGACCACAGCATCGCCTAAAAATGCCAAATTATACTTGTTCATGCTATTATGTAGCGATGATATTATTACAGAAGACCCCTGACTGTGATAAAACTGACCAGGGTTCTGATAATAGCAGGATTGTGGTGATATTTAGTGCTGTGCGCCATGGAAGGAGGTGTAATGCTGTGAGAGGGAGGGTGGTGGCGATGTCTTTTGACTGTGTGTGGCCACCTTTTATTGACTGCACTCACCATACCAGCTTAGTGGTTTGCTATGGTGAACACAAATGTAGATACTTATATATAACGTGCGTATAGAGGGTATAAACAGCAAGAGAAGGTTTGGAGCTGCCATATTGGTGAGGGCGGTGGCGTCGTCTGCACGACGCCACCGTGCAGACGACGGTGTTGTTTACTGGTTACCACGATGGTCTTTGGGCACCATACCAATTTATTTGTACAAGTATGATGAATAAAACAGGTAGATATTGATATATAATGTGTGTATATAGCGTAATAACACCACACAGTATTGTTGGAGGAGAAATATTAGTGCGTCTGGCCTTGAGGGCGGCCGCCGATCAGCTGACTGTGTGAGTAGCCACATCTCTGTGCCTTTACTCACCATACAAGCTTAGATGTACAGTTATGGTGAACAAAACATGTAGATACTTATATATAACGTCTGTATATAAGGTATGTAGCGTAATAACACCACACAGTATTGTTGGAGGAGAAATATTAGTGTGTCTGACTTTGAGGGTGGCCGCCGATCAGCTGACTGTGTGAGTAGCCACATCTCTGTGCCTTTACTCACCATACAAGCTTAGATGTACAGTTATGGTGAACAAAACATGTAGATACTTATATATAACGTCTGTATATAGTGAATTATAGCAAAAACATTATTGTGGGAGGAGAATGAGGGTGAGTCAGATGACTGGAGGGAGGGCGGGAGTGGCTGTCTGGTACACGGCGGTCACTCCTCATTACTTTTTGACTCGTAATAGCTACTTAGTGGTTCGTTATAGTGAACAAAACATGCAAATACTTATATATAACCTGTGCTTATAGTGTAATAACTGACAAAGTATTTGTTCACTGATTGATGAGCATAATTGAATCAACAATATGCACACCATATTTTTGAGTACAGCAATGATTCACTCATTTTATTATATAAATATATCAAACTAAACACTATTGAATAATATTACAGCAAAAAAAATATGAAAAATCAATCAGAGACATTGAAATAATTCGGTAATTATCTCTTTGTGGCAACTCTGGCCTGACAGCTTGCGAGCAACAGACCGCCTGGGACGCACGCTGAGTCAGCGCCTATAATTTGCCAGACTTCCCCGCCCTATAGCGGGCAATATATGCCACTTACGATTTTTTTATTATTTTTCCTGTGATCAGTGATCACAAATTAACAGGTTAGAAAGAAAAAATAATTTTTTTTTTTTCAAAATGACATGCGCCTGTAGGGATGGCAGGATATTAAACCCCGAGCATGTTAAGGGTTAAAGTCCTACTGAGCTTAGTAAAATTTTATTGTTTCAAGTTGGTATCTAGCTCTGCAGAAAATTTCATATGCAATAATGTACATGCATGACCACATTTTCTTTAATTACTGGAGCTAATTATACAAGCTTCAAGTCTGGAGTTTATAGTGTTCAACTTTAACAATTTAGTTGAGCAGTTTGTTGACAACACTAGGCAGACTAACATTAGGTGTGCCCTTTACATAGAGGCAGTTAACAATAAATATAAATGTTAAACTCGGTGCCTGAGCAGTAAAATAATTTCTGGGGGTGGCCTTTTCAGTGTCTTCTAAGAGATTTGTGCACTACTAATCCAGGACTAATACCATCTCACTGGGCATCTAAGACTACCCCATGCCTTACTGGAAACATATCTCCAAGAAATGTTTGGCAAAAATGAATACCAGACAAAACTAACCTTCCCAACACCATGTTTGTCTCTAAACTTTAGAAGTGGAGTGGCACTGGATCCCATGAAGTTCAAAGCTGGTCAATGCTCTGTTCAGCCTAGAAGTATGTCTGGTTACTACACTGCTGTTTCTATCCTTTAGGTTTTAACTCGAGATTAGGATTGTGGCCTGGTCGAGACTAGGATTGGAGGCCTGGTCGACGACCGGGCCGCGGGGACGCTAAGCCCCGGAAGCACCTCAAGGTGGCGAGTTTTCTAGTCAAGTACTTTGCAATGTTTTTACTTCAATTTTCTGGTAAAGTAGTGGTGAACTTCCACAAAGTTCAGAACTAGGCTGTTCCACATGGCTTAACAGGGAATCTGGTTTCTGTGACAAGTGTGTCTAGGTTTTTTTTCATCTAGGCAAAGTTCTGAGGCCTTTCCAGTCCTGCGCATTTAGGTTTTTCTCTGGAATATGTAGGTGGAGTGTTGATGCAGCTCCTATATTCAGAGCCATTCAAGGTTTAATAAGGCACTGCATGGTGTTTGGTAAATATCACCAGCTGCTTTGACTTGGGTTTTTTCCACTTAGTAGTTGTATTGGTGTCATTTCTAGTCTTGTGCATCCTGGAAACACTTTTTCACCGATCTCTGCTTTAGTTTTATTGGTTCCTCCACTTTGGTCACTGCCTCTCTTCCTCAGAGCCAGCTTGTGCCCTAAATAAATTTTCTTTGTAATATTTGGTGTTTCTGATTATGATGGGTACCCACGTAGTTTTCAAGCGAGTGTAATTACCTAAGTGTAGAGGATGAGAGCTACGCTCATCGTGTCCAGTCTTCCCAGCACTCTTTGGCATATAACGGGTATGCATCAAGTTTGATGCTGGTCTTTGGCTCCTGAGTTTATCTTAGGCAATACTTTTTCAGGTGACTAGTTTTTTTAGATTGGTGTATTTTGCTGTTTGCTTCAATATCCCAGGTGATTACTTTGATGTGGGATTCATGTCAACGATGGTACCTATGGGGTTCTCCTATTGTCATAACAAGAGGTAGTGTCAAGTTCCAGATTCTTGTCCTAGGTCTTTGGCCTTATGCAGTTACCTAAGGTTTAGCAGAAAAGTCCCAGTGCTATAGCTATGAGGAGCTACTGAGGAATGTGGGGGGGGGGGAACCCTCCCAGAAATACGTAAACCATACAGAATTTGAGTTATTTTGCTATAAATATGTATCGTAGAAACATTATCTCTCTCTCTTTCTCCTACATATATTGTTAATCTTTCATTATCATATTATTTTAAACTAAAACTTAAACTCCCATGCAGTTCCCATGGCATAGTAGTAAGACGCTCGCCTGGCATTTCGTGAGCGCTTTGTCCTGGGTTCATATCCTGGCCGGGGAGGATTTACCAGGCGCCAATCCTGAACTGTAGCCTCTGTTCACCCAACAGTAAAATGGGTACCTGTTTGTTAAACGATTTGGCGGGGTCGTATTCCGGGGAATATTAAAATTAAGGACCTGCCTGAAATGCTATGCATGCTAGTGTCTGTACAAGAATGTAAGAACTCTTGTGCTGCATATATAAATACAAAAAATAAAAAAATTCAACTGCAACCACTTTTATGAGAGGCACTGGACAAACCTTTTGAATTTGGGAACTAATTTGAAGGGCTTTGTTGTGAAGCTCCATATCAACACTACACACGAAGCTCACTGCACTGGTGTCTGCAGGTTCAGTGTGGCTCTTGCTGATCATCAGTTGAACACTGGAAAGAAAAACTTTGTAATACCTAATGCAACTTTTAAATTTTATGAACAGGATACAAAAATGACATACTATATAAAGAATCAAATGAGATAATTTGGCAATGGAGCATCTTTTTATTTTATTTTTGTATATGTACAGTATTATAGGTTTCATAAATGAAAACATACCTTATTCAATGCAATAGTTTTTGAATGAAGAGAAATATGAATTTAAAATCTATATGTTCTTAAACACTGTACATCTATGTTAAAAATCATTCTTGAATGATTATAGGATCAAGGATATTAAAGAAAACAAAGGGATGATAGTCCATCCCACAAGACAATGTGGAATATAAAAATGAGTGTGTAGCGTTTTATTCTCGAATCCAGATTACATGCACACTGAGATAAAGTTACAATAAGAGTAAAGAGATAAGTAATTGCACTTGAAGGTGGGATACACAACTCATGTTCCTGAGAGCTGGAGCCATGGAAGTAATGGTTAAAAAAAAGAGGAAGATGCAACTTTGCAGCAGGGCAGTCATTGACACTGAAATAAGAGACTAGATCAAGTGAACTGGTAAGATAAACAGCTTTTCTTAGAACTGCATCAACTATTTTGGTAGAGGCATAACAACACCAGTCGTGAGAGACAATGTGACTAAGACAATGGCATATCAGATTTATAAAGCTGAAATAAATATAAATGGACATCCCTTTTGAACCTGAAGAGAATGCCAACAATTTTGAAGCACTTGGAAATTACTAACATACGAGGTTTCCAAGACACATGGCACAATGTTTATGGACACATTGTCCATAAACCTATAATGTATATTGTATTGAAGCATACATACCTATGTACAGTACACATATACCGTACCAACATTTTATTTTTCCTTCCTACAACAACAAGAGTTCAGTAACTCATTTAACATATGTAAATTTTATTACTGTAATTATTAAAATAAAAATCTTTACCATACTGTAAGTTTAATTTCCACAATACTTACTTGTTGAGAGAGAGATCTTGGAGAAGGGATGCAAGCCAAACTAACTGCTGTGAGAGGCGGTGGCGTGTTAAGTGGTCTGCCGGGTAATTGATCCACACACCACCATATTTAATCAGCAGGTCCAGACTGCTAACAAGGACACCTTGCACCTGGCCTACCACTTTGCCTAACTCGACTTAGGGACAAAAAGAAAGAAATAAGGCTTTGAGTCTAAATTATTTATGTTACAATGCCATGATACTTTCCTCCTTTAATCTGTTTTCCCTGTTCATACAATATTTCACTTAATAGTAATTATTGTCTTTGCTAACCCCAAAGTAACAATGGTTTAATGGCCATATTTAAAAATACAATACAATAGAATTGAAACAAACCTTCTGTATGTTCACACTGTGTGGCTAATTGGCCTTGACCAGCCTTAGTTAAGAATTCATTCACAGGTGCAACACTGGCCTGTAGACTACCCATACTGCTAACCTTAGCGCGCCATTCCCCTGCTTGTCCACTTTCAAACACCCGAGCTGCTGTCTGAAAATTGGAACAGTTGAACAGTTTGTTTATTAGATTTCTTTTAATCTTCCTGGGAACTCATCTCTGAGGGAAGCAACTATATGTAGAACCTTTCCCGGTCATTTCAAATGCCTTAAGCATACTGAAGATTCCTAAAGGAAAAAGTGAAATGCAGACGATGAGTTGCAATAACGTGGCTGAAGATATGAAGATGAAAGGTTTGACTGTGCTCAGTATGTAGTGCCACTTAATGCTCTGCTCTGGTTCCTTCATCTCCATATCTGCATTAAAAGCTGTTCTCTCATTTTGTTTCTATTCTCACCCAGTCTTGTGCATTTCAATCAAAGCAACTTGCATTTCACTCATATTCAATGCGCAATTCTCCTACTAAAAGTAAAATGTATTATTTTTTAATGTGGAGGGGAGGATGAGATGCAATTGAAAATTAAAACAATTAACCCATTCAAAATCCTTCTATTGCATCTGATTTTCTGAAAGACCAGGTTCTGTTCAAGATTCAAATAAATGTTATTTTTGCAAACAATGTACTGTACAATGAATGCCCTTCAAATGACTTAAAATATAGCATGATAGAGATCAAGATTTCAAAATAATTCCAAATCTAAACGAGTACAGTAACAAGGCAATACAATTTTTTTTAGTATTTTATCTCACCATGTATAGTTTGTGCCACTGCTTTACTTCCAAGAGCCGAGCATTGACGAGATCTTTGGAATGATCAATTGACTTTTTCACCATCGAGTATTCTTCATAGCGAGGACGTAAGCTATATAAACTATGCTGTGGGTTGGCTTCTGCTTCCTGTCAATAGAGATTTAGTGGTGAAAATGAGAACTGCTGTTCATGCCACCTAAAACCTACCTACTTACATACTAATATTAACAGCAATGTTTGTACAGGTTCCTCATGTAATAATAGTGCACTACATATTTCCATACATTATAAGAGCCATCACAGCAACATTTAGCTGAGAGAATACAAAATGAAACAAAAAACATTACTTTCTTTTAGGCTAATAATTCTGTATGTAAGAATATCCAAGTGGTAATTAACTCTCTGAACTGCTTTTTGGCATCTTGGCAAGTTTTATTACTGCTTGTTCCAATTATGCATATTCAATATCAAGCTAACAAATGTAAAATCTATGTTTTAAAAGTATGCTTCCATATATAATGTGTACATATAAATAGCTTTATGTAAAGTATGTTTGTGTGAAGAGTCATATATTCAATAAATTATATGTGCAAGCACATTCCTTGCAGGAGAGAAAAAGTTTGAGAGACAATTTTATTTTATTTTTTTGCCAGGATATTTCTGCATGGGCCCTAAGCCTTTGGATGGCCCACTAAGTACTGCTCATTTCAGTCTTCCTAAGGCAGAAATGTGTATTTATGACTTGTATGTTGATTTCGATAAGGTTATGATTATAACATGAGACAACAGATGGCAATACAACAGAAGGACAACACCTTCACTAGTTCATATAACTAGATGCAAAGTGTTTCTTAAACAGTCTTGATAGGGTGTAGTTATTTAAATATAGAGTTGACTATAATGCAATGTCCCCCTTTCTGGGGCTCAGCAGTGGCTTCTTATAGCTTTTCACTGGTACTCCAGGACTAACTCCAACCCACCAAGCACACTGACCATCTCTGTCTACTCTAAGCAAGAACCAGAATCTGGCCCAAATAGGAGAAAGGTAGTCAGAAAAACTCAAAATCATTCTAGAGAAATGCTTCCTTTCAAGTTGTTGTTGTTGTTAAAGATTCGCTACCTGGAACAAAAAGTTCCAAGTAGCACGGGCTATGGTGAGCCCGAACTTTTTACTTTCAAGTAAAATGCCAAACAAAACTCAAAACACTTTGATGGGGTGTGTGTAGTGGTTGACACTGTAGGTGTAGCCCATAGGTTTCCTTTGAGGATTGGAAAATTCCTCTGAATTTTCCTGGTCTCAGGCCGGGCTCGGGAAGTAGAAGAACTCCCGAAACACTCTCCAGATATGCTCATTGTAAAATTTCTAATCCTGGGTTAGGTGGAGTGTTTTCCTCTGAATTTTATATATGGGAGGGGTGGTGATTTATCTTTTGGGTTCAGAGCAGGTCTGTGTCCTGTGTAGCTGGATGGTATGATTGGCTGCTGCCACCCTTTTCTCCAGATCTGTTTTTTTTCCAGAGGCACGGCTTAGGGTGACTTCTATTTTGCCCTTTGAAGTGGCTGTTATGTATTTTATCATTTTGGGTGGATTAGTGGTTTTTCCTTCCTCTAGGTTTAGTGCTCACCTGTGGTTCTATATGCATGACGGTGTCTGGTTGATGTCATAGTAGTGACGGCAACCAGAAAAGGTCCCAACAGCACAGCAAAGACCTACCCAGCACCTAGACCAACCTCAACCAAGGCGGAAACAGAGAAAGAAACTTTGACTCCCGCCAGTACACCAAGAAGCTGAAGCAAGCCAACAGGGAAAGAACTAGATCCCTGGCAAGCAGACAAACCCAAATACAGTACTAGGATCCCAAACCAGCCAGTTGTTGAGGTAGGTTAAAATTCACACCCTATTAAAACAGTGTCAGAGGACTAACAAAATCAGCTCGGTGACAATTGTTAGCACCAGAATCAAACCAAATGACAGCCCAAAGATGGTACCAGAAGTGACCTAGGCAATCCTCGTACCTCTGTTAAATGGGAAACATGGCAAGACATTCTGTAGATCCAGGGGACACCAAGCAATCCTGGAGGTCATTGATCACCTGGCAGAACATGACTTATACATATTGAGAACAGACGGAGTCCAGAATGAAGCAGGGATCAGGGGGGATCACTTGGAAATGGAAGAAGCAGGACACTATCCACAAAAACAGTTACTATGATAACACTCTTCTTCAACATATTGCAAATGATGGTGTTGAGTAGAAGGAAGATAGCTGAGCAGGTCCCAGTATACCAGAGAGAAAGAAACCATGTTCACAGAAGACTCTGGATATTATTTATAAAGTACCAGTACATAGCATAGATGAAGCACCTTTTGGAGTTTCATAAACTTCTTTTCCTATTTGTTCTTCTTTTTCTCCCAGTCTGATACCTCCCCACCCATAAAAGTGGAAAATGAGCAATAACAATGATGATAACATCTTACTATACAGTTAAAAATGTGCTTGCAGCCAACACGACTACTTTAAGCATTAAAGCATTTCCAACTTTATATCTACTAGTGAATCAATCACAGCTTTAAAATCAGGTTCTACCCAATGCAAGTATTTATTTTACACTATAAATATGTTGTGTAGACTAAAATAACCTTGAGCATAGCCATTAAGTGGTGGCCATCTTGTAAGTTGGCTTCTGCTTCTGCTAAAACTTCGTGCGATTTCAGCCATTCACCGAGACTTGCTTCCACCTCTGGAATGGCAGTTAACACTTCCAACCTGAGAGAGAATACAGTGAATTTAAATGAAAAGGTATATATTAAAAACATTAAGGTAAGTCAATAAATTTTCTCAACATTCTTATTTTTCTTGGTCTGCTCTTCAGTTTTCCTTTTCCTTACTTCTCCTACTTTTAAATGGCTAATTAAAGGACAGAATGCTCATTTTCATACCTGTTTAGTTATGAACACTCCAGTAAATCTGTTAATATTCCAATTCCATCTACTTACTCCCACACACAATATTTTCAATGTCCCTAACAACAATGTAGCTAAAACACCAAGATTCTTAGACTGTATTTGTAAATAATGTTTCACCTGCAAGTACTTCATACATATACGGTACTGAAATATAAAACTTACTTGTTAGATATCCAGTCAGCCTTCATTTCTGCCATCCTTACAGCAAACATGCTGAGGGTGAGGCCCCGTTCCAACTGCTGCCGACTCTGCCGTGCACCTGATACTAGTGCCTGGTCACCACCATATACAGCACCTGAATGATGATAAAGAGAATCACCATATATCCTGCTTTATGTCTCTTTCTCATTCAAAATTTTTTGTAAAGCAATATAAATTTATAGTTAAAGCAATTAATTTCTTACCAGCATATCCTGATTCACTATCTGGGGTCCAGTCAACTAGAGGGTCATAAATGAATGCCTCCAAGAGTGTCAGAAGTGTTTCTCTTCCTCGCCGCATAGTACGCAGTACTTGCTCACAAGCACTTCTGAAGACACCCTGAGATACAGATAAAATGATATAAAAATGCTGCAAAAATTAAACTAAGTGTACCACAAGAAAGCACTCTGAACAAACCCTGAATTCTGAACACATGCTGTTTATTATAAATATGAAATTATCTTAATAACCATTTATGTTTTAGTAAATGTTTTAATGAAAACTTTTAAAACCATAAAACATAATTCAAAATATGAACTTGAAAATTAAAATCTATCCATTAATAACATATACTGTACTGTATATTAACGATATTGTGAATTTTGACAATAGCAATCTTCACAACTTCATTAATTATTCACTCCATACACCAGTGACACCATGCACATTATCTGTGTGTACATAGTCTCTGATTAAGCTGAGCCAGTCATACATTCTTTTCACCAAAACTGCCAGAGAACTTGATTTTGTGCATATAATATGATCCTGAATTAAAGGCAATATAAAAACATTATATGCATGTTTGTGAATAAGCAGTCAATACCTAAGACTAACAATTAAACAAAATTTGATATAGTGTACTTTTAAAACCCAAAAGTTATCAACTCATTATTAATGTGGAAAAACATCTGAAAACAGACACAGTTCTGCCACTGTGAATTTGTCTAAATATCCAAATTATCAAGAATGATTTCAACTATCAATTTATATCTTTGATAAATAGTTTTGAAAACATTTCAAGTACTGTACATTTAATTATTAAGCAAAAACTATATATACATGCTTCATTGTCCCTTGTCTCAGTTAAGCAGTTACCACCTACATGCACAGAGAGAATGAAATGTGGGAGAACAATTAGGACTGCCCTCAACAAGCATAAAAAAGTAGGAGATGAAATATGAAAAGATACAAGCACTAGCAAGGAGAAAAATTTTGTATATTTGTTAGAAAAACATCATTCATTGGAGGCCAATATGTAGGTAAAGGACTAATGGAACTGCAGTGTGAGTGTAGCAGAGGTTAACCAATCTACGCACAGTAAGAAAACACTTTTCTTGCAAAATCGATAACAAATATTTACTGACCTCAGTTCCAGTAACTCCAAGTGCTGCTTCTATGTTATGAGTCATGCGGAATGGAACTTTCTCTGGCACACGAAGATTTTTACCCTTTTCAAAACATACATTATAATCAATGTGGACCACCTGAAATTAAAATTTGGTAAGTTGTACCATGAACTGTAGAAAAATAAAGTGCTGAGTGTAATGAAATGCCTCATTCTGGATGGCACCTCAGTAGCTACCCATGATTATAGCACTGGCTCTATAAGGCCATATTAGGCACATCACACTTCTGTGACAATCTCTGCCAAGCAGGAGCAAGCCGCATTTCACACTCACTTTGTCTTTATTATGAAGCAAGCAAGGATCAAAGACTGACCCACTACGGAGGTGACCCGCCTATAAAAAGCGAGTGGCATAAAACAATCCAAATGTATGGTAATAAAAAATGCATAAGTGAGATTTTTCCTAGCAACTTCCTGCCCATCACCAAGTAGCAGCCTCAGTGCCATAAGACCAGGGTCCAGAAGCACAATGATACACCTGGGTGGGATGCATTAGATCACACACATAATAACGGGGCCATATGTGGAGGAAAGAAAGACTCATGATGGAAGATGAGAGCCACATGGCAAGACCTGAGTCTCGCAAAAACCTGTGAAGTGCTGCCGAGGGGCAGTGGGTATAAGGAACACCTATCCACACAAGTCCTGACCATGATGGGACCCGGTAAACATGAAGATGACTCATCATGAGCGAGGAATAAGGATTGAGGCAGCACTTTAACAAGCCTATCAACCTCCTGGTTGATAGGTTATCAAAATACCCAGGAGGGTATTTTGGTTTACCGGAAGAGAACTCCAATTCATTAAGAAAGTACTTTGGTTCATCAAGATTACCCTGGGCCACAAGGAGTGTGCTCAGGAAGTGTGAGTGGTCACAGGAAGTGGGCCCCAGATGATCTGGGGGTGCATACCTTGAATCTTTGAATGTGAACATACAATCACCATGTGATTACAGTATCATGGTTTGCTAGGAGAGTTCTCTGAAAATGGGCTTTGGTTAGCCCTCATATGTGTGATGGGTTCCATGTTTCATGATGATCATTTTATCACAGTGTCACAATGGTGTGCCTATTATTACTGCTTGCAAATTTTTTGAATAGTCTCGGGTGGTCTTGTCACTGTTGAGCACCTGTAAGGCTTCCATACGGCCTAACTTATGTCTTTCCATTATGCTCCTTATTCAGCCAGTGGCTCTGGTTTGGTGTTAACGTATGTCCCTGGTCCCTCTCTGTCTTGTTGATGCTTGGGTGCCTAAAATAATGACATTTTCCTGTTATGGCTTCTCTTCTCTTGGGTCTCTTATGGTAGATGGCATCTTGTTTACATTTGTGCAGAGGTGAATTCAAGGATGAATAGGTACCCTGTGGCTTGTATCTCTGGTGGGTTCAAAAGATGTGTCCCCGATGTATCAAGAGAAGTCACAGTAACCTAATGTATCCTATATGTCTCTTGTAAGCCAGTGCCGTAAGATCAGTGCAGCTACCGAGAGATATTTCATTACACTCGACGCTCTATTTACTTGCATCATCTATAATATTATTTCACTGTACAGATATTATTCTAGCTTTTCACTCCAGGCTGATAGTTCCAAACTCCATGAGAATGGTAAACTGGGAATAATAATGAGTGAAAATTTAATTTATAATTACAATGGAAATGCCTCTTTCAAACAACAATTTTAAAATTACTGTATTAGAATACTGGTCACTTACCTCTCCTGAAGTAAGGTTTACTAGGACATTATCTAAATGTCTGTCCCCAAGCCCAATGATATACCCAATTATGGACATCACTGCAGTTGAGATGGAGTAGGTCTGAGTCAAGTGCCACCAATCTCCCGCACTTACGCTGCACATCCACAACTCCCTGTGTTATGGTATTATACAAGTGTACAGCAATTGTAGTTCATTGCCAGTAATAAAACACATCTGGTTAAAAATAATTTGATATGTGGCTGAACACCAAGCATTAGAGTGAAGAAAATGTATTATAGTACTGAATATCAACTATATTTCTGTGCTTTACACACCTTCAGATACTGTAATATCTTATCCTCATCAGTATTACCCTACTTCCAACTTTACCAGTGTATAGAGATGAAGCTGGAGAAAAAATGAAGAGTATTAAAACATAACATCTTGGGCAATGCCTCAGTAATAGACCAACATATCCAGAACACTATCGCCATGTTAGATATGATTGATTCTTGCCAACTGGGAACACGAACATTTTGAATTTCCCTCTTGTCCCCTCTAAGGGGCAGGGTGCTCATAGAGTGCAAGATGAATTGCACAACCGAGCCAAACTGCTCGTTGTAACACAAAGAAGCACTGCAAAAATTCAAGCTTTCTCGGATATTTGGCAACAAAGTGCGACCAAACTACTGTAACTAGTTGGATTAGTGAAGTATACAGTTGGGGAGGACCCGGAGACACTTGAGGAAAATAACATCAAGTCAAGTCCAACGAAGACCATGAGAAACTAAGCAGAAAGAGAAGGCTTTCTGGGTCCAAACTTGTTGGAAGGCACTTGCACTTCGCCCTGCTATGCTCTCACTCTGGCCAATTGCAAAAAAAGTTGATGGAAGGCACTGCAGTGCAACAGTCTTAAAGTTCCAGGAAGCTACTGAAATCAACACCGAAATAATAATTCTCAACAGTATTTGTCTATACTGATTTGGCATTTTCCTTTTTATATGTTCTCTCTCTCTTTTCTTTTACATTTCTAGCATGGAAAACTATACTCCTTTTCCTATTTACCATTAAACATTATATCACTCATAATGGTGACCATGTATTATCTTGAATAAAAGCTAATTATTCCTGACGTATTTAGATCCAGCATGTAGGTGACTTTTCCTGTGTTATTGCCAAGTACCAACATCAACCAGACCCAAACTCCTGTTTGAAGGCCAGATGTCTGAACAAACATTCCAGGGTGCTGACAAAATTTTGTATATACAGTACTTTTTTTTTTTAATTTGCTTATTGCTGAATTATGTTCTTCATGACATGATGCAGGTGTTCCCACTTATTGTAGTGAAAGATTTTAATGATATATGATATACATAAGAAATCCCTATTTGAGATATTGATATCCCTTTTTATTAAAAATTAATAAAATAAGTAAGCTTGTGCTCAAATATTTTCAATAATATCACACTTCTAAGCATCACACAACAGAGAAATTAAACAGTGAATGTTAGGAAACCAAAAGTAACTCACCTAGACAGCAGATTTGATGGAGTATCTTTGATAAGCTCTTTAAGAACATCTCGCATTATGGCTAATGGCCATTCTTTTCGGTTGTCTAGACTAATGCCAGCATCTCGCAGTCGAGGAGTTAGCTTGCTATAGTATAATTCTGATGGCCGAGGAACCTGTGGAGGAGCTGCAAATAAAAAAAAATCAGACGTTAAGTAAATATGAATAGAACTTTTTGTGAGCAGGACATTTAGTTGCTCTCTAAGGCAAGATCCTGCTGACTTATGGTTAAGATTTGGATTAGGGCAGGTTGACATTTATTTGTTATTTATTTTATTTATTTATTTATACCATAGTTCTTACCTTCTTGTACAGCCACTAGCACTCATAGCGTTTTGGGCAAGTCCTTAATCCTAATTTTCACACACACACACATCCCCAGGAAGCAGCCCATAGCAGCAGTTTAACTCCCAGGCACCTATTTACTGCTAGGTGAACAGGAACATCAGGGTGAAAGAAATTCTGCCCATTTGTTTCCGCCTCCCCTGGGGATCGAACCCGGATCCTTAGGACTACGAACCCTTGGTGCTGTCCACTCAGCAGTCAGATCGACATTCTGCATCCATGCAGCAAGAACTTTTTTAAACTGTCCCAGTTGGATAATATTAGCAGACACTGGAGAACACTCAATCCAAACTAGATTGCAGATAAAAAAGTGTATTACATGAACTCAAAAGCACTTCAAGGTGCAACTTAGCAATTGGTTAACTACCAAACCTTCTACTCTGTCACAACCCTCATCCACCACCTGGTGAATTCAATGTAGTTGTCTCAAGAGGAGAGAAGCACTGCAGGTGCATGCACTACCGAGCTAGAATAAAAGAAGACAGTTTCTTAAAGGCACTAGTACATGTTAGTAGTCTCAAAATAGCTAGTCTCGTGCTAGCTAGTCTCATGCTAGCTAGTCTCAAAGCTAGTCAAAGCTAATTTCCTGCCAGCTAGTCAAAGCTAGTTTCATGCCAGCTAGTCTTAAAGCTCTCCAAATGTACTCACTAGAAAACATACAAGAGAGATATCAAATAATGTACATGTGGAAAATACTAGAGGGCCAGGTCCCAAATCTACACAGTAAAATAACAACATACTGGAGTGAACAATATGGAAAAAAATGCAGAATAGAACCAGTGGGTGCCATAGGCACAATCAGAGAACACTATATAATATAAACATCAGAGGTCCACAGTTGTTCAACATCCTCTCAGCGAGTATAAGAAATATTGCCAGAACAACCGTGGACATCTTCAAGAGAAAACTAGATAGTTTTCTTCAAGAAGTGCCGGACCAACCGGGCTGTGGTGGATATGTGGGCCTGCAGGCCACTCCAAGCAACAGCCTGTTGGACCAAGCTCTCACAAGTCAAGCCTGGCCTTGGGGAGAAGAAGAACTTGCAGAACCCCATCAAGCAGGTATGCATAACTCAAAGATTTATGTCTTGGAATAAAGAGCCAAGAAATTGAGAATGACTAAGGACAACCAAGGTGTGAGCTAGAGATAAACAATGAAGTGTGTATTCTGACAATCAGGCAAGGAAGCAACCAGCTATACATTTAAGAAGAATAAACTCAAGTATGCACTAAGGTGAATAAGCACAAAGAAGATATATCTAGACAACCAGTCAATTATAGCCTAGACACTTTAACGCTGGCTCCAAAAAGGCACTTTATTTGGAGCAAATTGAGCAAAATACACACAAGAAGCATTTGCTATTGAACCATAATCTACTACACAAAAAGCAAAGTTCCTAATGATAATACAGTACAAGCCACTTAACACTTTGGCGTACCCCGCGCGCCACCCCTCAACTGTGCGATATGGGACCCAGGGTGTCACAGGAGCGCGCGTAAATTCTGAAAAGTGTATACTCTCTTCAACTTTGTCACCTTAATTCTCGTCCTACGAGATTAAAATTGGTATCATTGTGTTCGCAATAGAATTCTCTACAGCACTAAATGCATATAAACTCCAAAAGCCCGGCTAATTACCCGCAGCAAACAGAGAAAGTGCGAATGAGTTACCCAGGAGCACGCAAACGCGATAAAATGTTTTCACTATTTTCACTCTGGTCACTTCAATTTTTGTCCTAGGTCTTTCATTTTGGTCTCAATGGATTCGCAATAGAATTCTCTAGAGGAACATTAGCATATAAAATAAAAAACCTGGTCATGCTCCAACCGCTGACGAGTTGAAGACAGGCCACGCGTTAGCCGTGAGTGAGCGCTCAGACGCCTTCCAGCTACACTCCCAATTCCCTCCCTTTTCAAGCCTTTCTTTCGCAATTTTCTTCCTGGAAGGGCCTTGTTCATGATCACTATCCATCGTGGAGTAAGCGTAGATAGTTTCTAAAGCCGCAATAAGAAATATAGCCACGGAAAATAGCCGAAATGTTCACACGTTTGAGATGCGAGGGGAGGCGACATTGGTCACAACAGTGGAGCAAAAACAATGGGCCCACGGCGTGTGCCAAGCCACCTGAGGGCCAGGAGGCTCAACAAAGAAAATGGGAAGACATCGGCGCACATTTTAAAACCAGTCCCCAAAAAATTGGATAAAAACCTGATTTTTGGCGATTATTTAAAGTGGATGACGCAATGCTGCGTCATCCCCGGTATTACCGACAGTAAACGGATGACACAATGCTGCGTCATGCCCGGGCGAAAGTGTTAACTGAAAGTTTTGATTTTTGCTTACCCACAAAACCTGAAGGTGAGGCCAGTCAGGATGAAATGTTATTGTATTAGTACTGCCATCTGGTGGCAGCTATGGGTAATGACCTGGCTAGAGGTGCATCTCGACAGTCTCCATTGTCAAGATGCACCTGAAAGAGCGTTTGAATTCATGTACACTTTTCTGTCTAAATTTTAGGCATAATTGAGTATCTCCTTAGCACAAGTATGACTAGGCAGAAACATTTTGAAAAGTACCTCGCTTCACTGGTGCAGAAATGTTGACCTGCCTTGCTGCGCCAGATCCTAACCAGAGGACAGTAAGATCATGTCTTATGGAGCATCTGAGTGCAATAATATAAACTTAATTACTGGGTATACAAATTCTGGTCTACTGCTGTGGAAAAAATTAATGCAATGCATCTAGGAAAGGAGGTCCTGTACTGGTAAATCTCTTATTTAAGAGCATGAAGAGAGTTGTTCATTTGACTATGGCCTCTTATTTCCCCCATCACGTACAGACCATCCGAACCATCAATGGTTACCTCCACAAAACAGACCAGATAACCGATAGCAATACCTAAAATAAAAACAAACCTTGAGGGTGAATAGAAACTGCAGATGAATGTATCTTTAGCAACATTGCATGTGCCTCCCGTTGCTGCCACCTTTTGTACAATCCAAACAATGGTGTAGCACTACCAACCCACTGGATGAGCCCCGAGCGTGGCCCAAGGGGCACCACTGAGTAATAGCGAGCACGGTAAACACAGTCTTTTCCTCTGAAAAGATATAAAAATATATTGTAAAGTCACTAACATTCTACAGAAATCAGAATATACTAATGACATGTGAACAAATCAGTCAATAAATCCATGTACTCTATGACACAAAACAGTTTCTTTAACTTTAAAGTTATTTATTGTTACTGGAAACACATTTTTTCCCTGTCAGGTGACCCAAAGGGACAGTTTATGTGCAGTACTGTATTACATACATACTGACCAAAGAGCCAGAGCTCAACTCCCGCAAGCACAACTAGGTAAGTACATAATACATACAAAAAAAAAAAAAATACATACATACATACATATTTAAATACCCGTATTTTCAGTAAATTTCATGCTCTTAATTACATGCTAAACATGTTGAAATCATAAAATTATTTAGTAAATGTTAAATTTTAGTAAATTAAATAAATAAAACGACAAAAATTTCACCACATAGGTCAGCTCTAAAACTACAGGACTGTCAAAATTTGCTGATCTCTATTCCTCTTATTCTTTTATACACATTACCTCTGATTTTTGGCCAACATAGTATTGACGATCTCGAGAAACTGCATAATTCGCTCATCCAAGTGCAGGTCCTCTAAGCCCTTAAAGAGGTAAGTATACCTGGAAATAAAAATTATCATCTGAGCAGGATGCCTAACAGTGCTTGCAAATTATATACATTAAAGTTATATAAATCGAGAATAATCTGAAATACTGTACATTTATAAAAAAAAAAATTATGTAATATTTAGTTGCATTGCACCTCAATAATTTGTTGCATCAATGTGTATATTAACCAGGTTCACAACATAATCGTCACACGCACACACACACACACACGCACACACACACACATACATACACACACACAATAAAATGCCGGGGCCTCGTAGCCTGGTGGATAGCGCGCAGGACTCGTAATTCTGTGGCACGGGTTCGATTCCCACACGAGGCAGAAACAAATGGGCAAAGTTTCTTTCACCCTGAATGCCCCTGTTACCTAGCAGTAAATAGGTACCTGGGAGTTAGTCAGCTGTCACGGGCTGCTTCCTGGGTGTGTGTGTGTGTGTGTGGGGTGTGGAAAAAAAACAAAAGTAGTTAGTAAACAGTTGATTGACAGTTGAGAGGTGGGCCGAAAGAGCAAAGCTCAACCCCCCGCAAACACAACTAGGTGAACACACACACACACACACGTACACACACACACACGCCATCACATAACTAGGAGAGTACACAACCCACGCTATTGTTCAATCACACTATGGCAGCACGGTTACGAGACATCTGTGCATGAAAGGATATATGCCATGGGGTTTTTATCTTAACATTCACTCCGATACAAAATTTAAACACTCACTTTTTGCCATCAGAACCCTGGAAGCTCAGCTTTTTTGGTTTGGTCTTTGTGGGAAGGATTGAGATATTGCCATCCACAGCCGCCACAGTAACAACCTGAAAAATTATCTTAATAAGTATTACTCATAAAAACTCATAACATTCATACAAATTTTACAAATTTAGCCCATTCTCAATATTTTTGCAACTCTTAATTACTCCAATGACAAATCTCCTACTATTCAGCAAGGTACCATGTGAATAATCTCAGTTGGGATATCATGAGTATACTGTATGTCATCTTGTAACTACACTTAGTACTGTAATTAGGCATTTACACACATATACATACATTATATATATTAATATATATATATATATATATATATATATATATATATATATATATATATATATATATATATATATATATATATATATATATATATATATATATATATATATATATATATATATATATATATATATATATATATATATATACAGGCATACCTCAGAATAAGAGTTTAATCCGTTCCTGGAGACGCCTCGCCTTCCGAAAACTCGCATTCCGAAGTTAATTTCCCCATAAGAAATAAAGGGAAATGAATTAATCCGTTCCTGACTACCCCAAAAACCCCACATCAAACTAAATTTTTATACCTAATTCATCTAAATAAACCTACAAAACTGTGTTCCATTTATTACTTACCTTGCTGTTGAGTGCTGTAGGCGTATGGAAGATGGTGAGGAGGGGGGACGAGGAGAGGAGTTACTGTTTGGAAGGGGAGTCCCCTTCCATAATCACATCACATAACCCCATGCCTTGTAACACTATGGATACCACTTCTCTTTCTAAATTTTTCAAACCAGCCCCTGCTTGCCTTAAACTCTTTCTTATCTGCATCACTCGTTGCAGGGGTATTCTTTAGAAGGTCTTCGTGCAACACCCTGGCTTTCTCACAAATAATGGCCTCCGAAACACTATCACCCCTCAACTCCTTGTCGTGTATCCAAATTAATAACAACTTTTCCACTTCTTCAAGTATTTGTGGTCTTTGTGCCGTTAATGTTCTTACTCCTTTTGCCACTTTAGCACCCATAATCTTATTTTTCTTCTTAAGTATAGTGCATATTGTTGATGTGGCTTTGTTGTACTGCCTACGAAGTTCAACAACACGTGTACCGTTCTCATGCTTCCGAATGATCTCTTGTTTCTCCTCTATTGTCATCCTCACATGAGCTTTCTGGCCTTTATCCTTACCACTGGCTTTCTTGGGACCCATGGTGAGATATATAATAACAAATTGTATAGACAAATCACCAAAAATCCAACAAAACACTGAAAATCCGCGAGAAGAATTGATGTGGGGGTAGTCACTGAGCGCGAGACAATAATAAACTGAGGGGCGGCGGGGCGGAGGGGCGACGAACGCGCTAGGTCGGCTTTACGCGTATCAACAAACTCGCGTCCAAACTCGCCTCCCGAAGTAACCCTCGCCTTCTGAGACAAATTTTTGGAGTAAATACACCTCGCCTTCCGAAAACCTCGCATACAGGGACAATCGCATTCCGAGGTACCACTGTATATATATATATATATATATATATATATATATATATATATATATATATATATATATATATATATTAATAAAGCAACAATAATTGAAAATTTGCTAATGGGTCCATTAAATCAGAAAAGGATTTAAGTAAATATTGTCTTACTTGCTGACTGGCAGACACCACACCTGGCATTGCAATCTTAGTGCTATGAAGATTTGCTAGTTTAGGAGATACATCAACCATCTTCAAGTTTGATGATGCTCTACGATGAGCTCTCTGCTGAAGCATCTGTCAAAAATGATGAATATATATATGAAAGACGTCAAAATAAACACTCAGAGTTTCTAATCATTTATTCATTATTTATCACTTCTGGTTACGGAGAAAGCAACATTCTGCAAGACTGAGTGAGAAAGATGATTGTAAGTTAAAACATTTCTATTATACAGTACAGGCATACCTCAGAATAAGAGTTTAATCCGTTCCTGGAGACGCCTCGCCTTCCGAAAACTCGCATTCCGAAGTTAATTTCCCCATAAGAAATAAAGGGAAATGAATTAATCCGTTCCTGACTACCCCAAAAACCCCACATCAAACTAAATTTTTATACCTAATTTACCTAATTCATCTAAATAAACCTACAAAACTGTGTTCCAGTTATTACTTACCTTGCTGTCGAGTGCTGTAGGCGTATGGAAGATGGTGAGGAGGGGGGAGGAGGAGAGGAGTTACTGTTTGGAAGGGGAATCCCCTTCCATAATCACATCACATAACCCCATGCCTTGTAACACTATGGATACCACTTCTCTTTCTAAATTTTTCAAACCAGCCCCTGCTTGCCTTAAACTCTTTCTTATCTGCATCACTCGTTGCAGGGGTATTCTTTAGAAGGTCTTCGTGCAACACCCTGGCTTTCTCACAAATAATGGCCTCCGAAACACTCACCCCTCAACTCCTTGTCGTGTATCCAAATTAATAACAACTTTTCCACTTCTTCAAGTATTTGTGGTCTTTGTGCCGTTAATGTTCTTACTCCTTTTGCCACTTTAGCACCCATAATCTTATTTTTCTTCTTAAGTATAGTGCATATTGTTGATGTGGCTTTGTTGTACTGCCTACAAAGTTCAACAACACGTGTACCGTTCTCATGCTTCCGAATGATCTCTTGTTTCTCCTCTATTGTCATCCTCACATGAGCTTTCTGGCCTTTATCCTTACCACTGGCTTTCTTGGGACCCATGGTGAGATATATAATAACAAATTGTATAGACAAATCACCAAAAATCCAACAAAACACTGAAAATCCGCGAGAAGAATTGATGTGGGGGTAGTCACTGAGCGCGAGACAATAATAAACTGAGGGGTGGCGGGGCGGAGGGGCGACGAACGCGCTAGGTCGGCTGTACGCGTATCAACAAACTCGCGTCCAAACTCGCCTCCCGAAGTAACCATCGCCTTCCGAGACAAATTTTTGGAGTAAATACACCTCGCCTTCCGAAAACCTCGCATACAGGGACAATCGCATTCCGCGGTACCACTGTAATCACTTTTTTTTTTTACCTGTGTGTTAAATCTATTAGTTATGCAGCAGCTAGAATTACAATAACATGGGTCCCTCGAAGAAATAGAAGTGAGAATATAATAAGTCCCTCTAAGAAGTAGAAATAGAAGTGTGAATATAATTCCAGCCCTAACACCAGAGGTACTTCAGCTGGAATTACCATTCAGGAAGTTGATAAGTATTAGAATGACATTTTAACCATAAATAGGGACTCCTAGACAATCTATATATAATATGCGAGACCAATACTAGATTACGCAGCACTATCATGAAATTCGCACCTCTTGATGCACAAACTAAACTTGAAAAAAAGTGTTGCAACAGGACTACAGCCAGAATTATGAGGAATCAGCTATGAGGACAAGGTACACAAGGATACATGTGGAAGTTAGAAAGATAATGAGTTAAAATAACATTCTTTTAAGAATATTCTTGTACCCTATACAAGTGGTCAACATATGCAATGCACTGATAGTAGAAGAAACTACCTCCATACACAGCTTAAAGGCCAGATACAACAAAATAATTCAATATTAGGAAAATAGTAATAAATACTAGGTGCAGCATGGTTAGTAAGTGCAGCACATACAATTGACCCTCACTTCCCCACAGTACCTGGGAGGTAAGAACTACAATGAATATGAAGGACTCAAAATTAAGCATAACGAAATAAGAAAAGACAGCTAGCAAACATACATAATTAAAGACAAAAAAGCTATTCACTTCCTAAATACAGGTATATAATAAAACAAATATGGGATTTCAACATTCACTAAACAATTCATTTTTATCCCTCAGATGAAACAACGTCAAATTTGATTGTTAACTTTGTGGATACTGAAATCTACGTAAACTTGCTTGGTGTAACTGTCGTAATCCAGAGAGAGCAGACTGTGGATCAAAGTAACTCTCAGGGTCCCGTAAATTAGACAAGGCAGTAGATATCTGCGAGCCGTAAGTATCATGGAAGTGACGCTCATGAGGTGTCTCTGGCAGGGTGGAGGTGATGTCTGCAAGTTGATCTAGCACAAACAGCAGCTGTAAAATTTACATTAATTAACAGAAATCAAAATAAATAAATGAATATGCATAAATACTACACATTCAATAAATTAAAATGAACAAAATTATTGCAAATAAATGTCTAGGGTATTCTATCCTAAAGATAGAGTGCTGTAACAGATAAAATATATGAATATTTCTTGAGCAGTTAATAGAAATTTGTATTCTGTCTTATATTTCAACAACAGGTAATACTTAACATATTTTACACACTGGTTTAAATATTATATCGTATTTCTTTTTGATAAGCTGTTGTTTCTCTATCGGTGAGAGTGACGAATTGTTGTTAAGGCGCACTATTTCTGCCGTTAGCTGATGGCATTTCCTGGACATGTCACTGTGATGCTGTGCCAATGTTCCAAGCCACAACTCATCCCACAGAACAGTAATACGCCGCAACTCGTGAACAAGCATTTGCACCTCACTAATGCTAGACCCAATCTGAGAAAGAACAAAATGAGACATCAATGTAATTATAAATATATGAATGTATAGGAGAGGAAGAGTAACAGGAAAATAATAATTAATTAATAATTCATTGTGTCGGGGGACAGGCAACCAGTTTGTATTCATACATATTAGGCTTATATCGAGCCCCCCCACAACCTCTTTCAGGTTGAATTACTGATCCCACCCAGGATGCAACCCCACACAAGCTGACTAATTCCTGAGTATTTACTGCTAGGTGTACAGGGGCATTACATAATAGGAAACGTGCCCAACTATTTCTGTCCTTCCTGAGATTCGAATGGAATTCTCGATTGTGAGTCGAGAATGAACCCAACTGTACAGCTGTGACCATAGTACAAATGAGGGCACGTACACAAAAAGATACATCTGAATGTACATTTTTGGAGCTCTCTAAGGTAAGATTCACCTGAATACAGAACATGATCTTGCTACAGCCACTCCGAGATACATGTTGGTGCTGGAATATATGCCAAAACCAACTTTTAAAACAGTACCAACAGGTACACAATAGGTCTTAGGAAGTCAATAAAAATAATCGATGGAATCCAGAATGACCAACAGAAGCCGGATCATAAATACTCAAAGCATTTTGAACCCCTCCCTTGGCATCAATGGTGACTGTCAATGGGGACACACTAATCAAGGGTTGGCCTGCATGACTGCCTATTGCGACCACCATCACACTGCAGCACTGGGACTGGATCATAAAAATTAGTTTGACTTCTTTTCATCAATGAAAGTTTATTTTTGGTGTGTGACGGACAATGGTATCTACTATTTTAATATTATATTATATATTATATTATATTATATTATATATATATCATGCCTTAATATTTCCTTCATTTAACATGTGTATAAAAATTATTAAGTGAAATTAATATACAGTATCTCTAAATTATCTCCCTTTCACAATAGTCTTTCCAACTACTGTACTGCACTTCTAATCTCTTGTAACATTACCATTTGCACCTCCAACAGCAGTGTTACAATATAGTTATACAGTACCTGCTTTGTTAATGTATCAACCAAAGCTGAGAAACAGTTTCGCATCAGAGTTCTTCTTTCTTGCTCCTCTGAGGACTCTGAGATAAGTTCTTCTTCTTCCTCTTCCTCCTCCTCCTCCTCCTCTTCTACCTGGTCATATTCCTCTTCTTCCTCTTCATCTTCATCATCGTCTTCATCTCCTAATGCCTTTTTTCTTCTAAGACGTCCTTTATGTAAATATTTTGCCAACATGTCTGCAAATTTGCAAGATATACCCTGTAGTTAACTTTTTATTTTGCTAGCATATAATGAAAAAATATTCAAGTGAATTCTGAATCTTGGCCAACATTTAGTAAACCTAGGATGACTTTCATAAATTACAAGTGCAAGAACTTCATTGCCAATACTATACTGGTAAATTCCCATTATACTCAATATAGTAAACATAATAAAATTTAAACAAAACAGAACTCAAAGGTGATATTTGACTGAATAAAGACAAAGTGTCATGACCTGAATAATTCTCGGTAAAAATCTGTATGTGTACAATACCTGTCAATGAAGCCTGATTTGCAGCAACATTTCCCCCAGCCGACCCTACTACTGCAGGGAACACGATGAGATGGGGAAAATCCTCTGCTAAGCGACACAAAAGTTCAGAGATGCTCCCTCGAACATACGGTTCAGGATGATTCAAGCGTGCAAATAGCTAGAGAGAAAAACACGTAATGTCACTATGCTAAAATATAAGTAAAACATACAAATTGTGATACATGTATGAATTATTAATGGAAATAAATCTAAGCATATAAAAATCTTATAACATTTAATATTAACACTATGCTTTTAAAACAGTAGCCAAGTGCAAATGTATAGTACCTGAGGAATAATAGTCTTCCAGGGTCGAGTAGGTGTTTCAGCCAACCCTTTCTCTAGCACTTCTCTCAGCTCGGAAGCATGTTTGACCATAAGCCGTAGGAGACGCAAAGTGGATACTGTACACTGATCTGCATGACTCACTGAAAACTGAACAATTAATGAATAGAAAAATGTCATTAATGTTCAATCAGTTTTATTACCATGGTTACTTATTTAGAATCTGGAGTAGCTGTGCATATTTATGGGAAACGCATAATGGAAAGCTAAGCTCGAGTCCTGACCAGTGAAGGACTCTTGGACACCCATCTTCAACTATTTGCCCATGTTCACCCAGCTGTAATTAGGGGACCTGGTTGTAAACCAATTTATGCATCACATTCCACAGAAAACTAATATGAGGTGGCTTATTATGAACTGTGGGAAGGAAGCACTCTAAGCCTGCTTACTAGTGTCAGAAGGTATCTGCTCCTGTATCAACGTGCAAAATAAAAAGCCCCAAAAGCAAAACCATCAATTATATATAATATCAACCATTCATAGTAAAAAAGGAACCATTTTATTTAAGTTTATTTTCATAGGCAAATGTGGCTAATCTTTTAAATTTAATTTTTGCTTTTCATAGTACAGTACAGTATATAACAACCATCAAAAGCTACTTACTCCTGGACTAATCTTCAGAAACCTAAAGTAAGCCTTAGCAGCTGCAATGAGAACCGTGTAGTGTCTCTCCTGAATTGCTCGATGAACATCAACTAAACGAGAGTTGAGGTCTGTGACCAAATTGCTTGACAAACCCCAAGACTGCAGTGTTGATGTGATCTGAGTTGTCACCTGAAATAAATTAAGCATTACGTACATGTATGTAATGCTCTTTTTAGAGTCAGTACAGTACCACAGTCACTTAAGTAGTTATAAGCTTTACAACCCACGCAGGACACCATTCACTACCAGGTTCCATCAATTTACCCCACCATGGAAAATACTTTTAAAATGAGTCTTTCCATGGGATAGCTTAGAAATATATTTCTTTTAGAAAACATTTATAGAACATAAAAAATCTAGCATTAAACTTGTATGAAAAGTACTTACTTGAGCAGTAGACTTGGTTGTACCCAAAAGATCGTACTCTCTTTTGGACAGGATCTGTCAGAGTTTTGGAAGGGCAATATCCTGTACCAGCAAATCTTGGAACTTTTCATAACTATTCCCACTGGGGCATACTGGTGCTTAGGATACAGTCGAGTCTAATTTACATAACCCAAAATATAGAGAGAAAATTTATTCCATAAACCCAAAAGCTTTTCCAAAGTGCAAAACTTGGCAATGCAGTAATTGCCAAGGTGCACAATGACTGACTATTTACTCTTTAGGCCACAAGGTGAGTGCCAATACCACAGCAAAAAGCCCTCCAGCCCAACTTTCCACACTTTTTAGTTGAAGCCAAGGATAAGATAAACCCTCCAGCATTAAGCACAGGGCAACCAGAAAATGAAGGGCGGGAATAGGAAGAAGTGAGTGTGTGGCTCGGAAAAAGCAGATAGGATAAGAACTCCGACACATTGTCCAGGTAGGCTACTTGATTTCAAGTATTGCGTGAAGGAGTTATTTGTGCTTAGTGTAATTTACCTTTTATTGGTCATTTTAGACTAAGAATTCTAAAGAGAAAGATAATATAGGGCCTCTATCCTAAGCAAGCGAATGAGAAGAATCAGGTGGGAAGGAAGGTACAGGTCTCGGCTAGAACACTTGGTTCAATGGCTAGGCTCGCCCAGAATGCCTAGTTCAATGGCTAGGCTCTCCCGGAACGCCTGGTTCAGTGGCTGAAAAGACACTTATGATTCACTCAACACAACTTGCAGCCAAGGTGAATCAGGATGTAACGCAAGAGCTTTTGGCAGTAGGGCTGTGTTGTGGTACCAGTGCTGCCATGCACTTGTGGGTGTTAAGCAGTTTACAGCTTAGTGATCCAGGTGCTGGCAAATGTGCTAAAACATCTCTAAATATCATGGACTGCACTTTTTTCTACATTCTCAATTGAATAAAGTATTGCCCACTGTCTTCCTATCATCAGGTAGGATCTGACAGCTTGAAGAGTACTCCTCCACAATGGTATATAATGTCAAACTGCCCTAACAGCAGCAGATTTAAACCAAAGATGAGTAAGATCTTACCTTAGCAACTAAGTGCAATAAGCTATATTAATATTAACATCCACAGAATGAATTGGAAGTTCTTTTTATGCAAGCAGTAAATTATACCAATGGCTGTTCATCTCTATAGTGCCAATGTCATTGCATTACCTGATGAACCCCTTGAACTTCTTCAAGTCGAAGGTCTTCTTCTTCTTCCTCTTCTGACTCTTGTCCTGGTCTCATATTTACCAGAAGTAAACATATCTCCTCCACTTTCTGCTGCCAGTCAGTGGAATCCATCCCACGTACTGGGGCAAGAATATCTTCGATATGTTTACGGTCAACGTCTGAGAGTTGGTTATCATTGGTGCTGCTATGATCAAGAATTTTTCTTCCCCATCTGGTAAAATTAAATTTTGACAATCAATTTTGACAATTTCTTTAGTTAACAAATTATATTTTTAATTAGTGCCAGGCAATCAGATATCAGGCTACAAGGAAAGCTACTGAAACTTAGCAATTAGTATTACAGGACCTGGAATGTATTAATCTTTCTTACCTGAAGCACCATGAGGCAATATGGAACCAAACTTTGGGTAATGTAGGGCACTGTGTGGCTGCTAGAGTAAGGATGTGACCCATTTTGTTCTCTAGTGGTGGCAATGTAGAATGGCTAACCTCTGCCAAGGGCTGCAATTCTTCCGGTGCAAATTTTCTCATTTCCTGATAAACTACAAAATATCAGAGTTAATTTTCAATCTGTAATTTTTTATTTAATATTTAACAAAAACTTTTATCCAAGCTGGTCTAGCTTCTCTGAGAAATATAATTTTGCTGTGCCATGTAAGAACGGAATTCTGCTTTACCTTGTGTAATCATGCCCACTGGACACACATTACACCTTACTTTAGTAGCTGGATGGGATAGTTCAGAACTAAAAATATTTAGTGTAAAACTGCACAATAAATTAATATTGCAAATACATCTGAAAATGGCTATTAGCTTTCCAAAATATCATTGTATATCTACATGTGTTTCATCATACCTGTAAACTTGTTACTATGTACAGTGCATATGGGCTGGTGTTTGTGCTTGCTTGCACAAACAAGCATATATTATATATACATGCTTGCATGTGTGTGTATATAACATACTAAATTATAAAGCACCTGTAAGGAGTTTATCCATCCAAGGAGGAACATGAACCGAAGAGTCTGCACACATCAGGAGTCGTCTCTCATCTTGTGACCACCATTTATTGAGGGTGATGATGGATCGAGCACACAGATGACCAGCTTCATTGGGAGGTAGCGTAAGGAGAGTGGTATCAGTTGCAGCCAATGTTGCTAAACTAGGGTTGAGACCAACTACAGCTCCAGCAAGCACTGCACATCCCTGAGCAATATGCCCTTTGCTGCAACATGAAAGAAAAGCTCATTGTGAGCCTATTCTGCAAGATCAAGTTAGTAACAGAGAAAACTGCTATGACGTTCTCTATGACTGAAAATTAGTACAACTTCTACTCACCCAGCAGTTGAGTAGGTTCTGCTGTACTGATCTTCTTTTCCTCTCACTTCTCTCTATTTTTACTCTATTGCTTTAAGTAGGGAACATATAGTTAGTATACCTCCTTAAATTAATTCAATAAACAATTGTTATTTAAACTTCAACTCCTTTTATGTATTAATCATACCTGCCTAATGAACTAGTGGGCTGACCTTTAGCATTTTATACAAGTCCCTTGTCATACTGACTAGCGTCCCTAATTGTCACTTACCCCCTCCCCCAAGTAATATCTGTTTGATACCTGCTTGATGGGGTTCTGGGAGTTCTTCTACTCCCCAAGCCTGGCCCAAGGTCAGGCTTGACCTGTGAGTTTATGTCAACTAATTATCAGTGAACACGATATTACTACTTGAGTGTCCAGAGCAAACTATTTCATTCATTCCACCCCATCTACTGTGAAACTAAAAAGTTGGGAGTTACTCGACCTGTAAGAGCCATAACTCTTTGCCCCAAGGTGTTCCTATACTGTGTATACACAGTCAGTGGGGATATTAAGACCTAGTTTTCCTTATCTCACTCTCAGTTCCCTGAATCCGGATAATAAGATAAATATTATAAACTCAGTGTGGTTATGTAGTGTTCTGTAAGTAGTGGCAGTAATATCTGTCCCTTACATTCCCTCTCCTTTGCTCGCACTCTTCTTCATACTTTTTCTCCCTCTCCTTTCCTCGCACACTCCTTCATACTTTCTCTCCGTCTCCTTTCCTTGCACTCTCCTTTGTGATCTCTCTCTCTCTCTTTTCCTTTCTCTCTGTTTCATTCTCTTCCTCTTTCATTCTGCCTTTGCCTATCTCATTAAATATATCTCTCTCTCTCTCTCCTCTCTCTCTCAATAACTATCTCTATCTCAATAAAGCTCTCTATCTCACACTAAATCTCTTCCTGTCTTTCTCCCTCTTTATCCCAGCTCACTATTAATGCAAACACTGGTCGGCCTAACTGGTGACAACAGTGAATGCAGTGCAGTTAAAAGAAGTTTAGATAAACTCTAGTTGTTATAAAAGGTGGCAAGTATCACATTCGTTATAAGGGTTGCATGCTGGAAGAGATCAATAGGTGATCTGAGAGAACCTCAATAAGCCCAACATGCTTCCTGTCTCCAACAATGTAAAACCTATACAGTATCATTAAATTATTTATGTAAGCACAATATTAGTTATACATACCATGCCAGCATCTTAGCTGCTTCTCTGTGCAGCTTTGCTTGCAATGGGTTGTACTCAGCTCCAGGTACAGCTTCAAGCACAGCATCCAACAAACTTGAGCTAACACTACCCAGCAGTCCTATGAGAGTGCTCTCTGCAAATTCCATATTTTCCTGCTTGCGAGCTTGCTTGGCAGACAACAGGTCTAACTTTGTAATTGAGGCTGAAAAATAAAATAGAGTAATTTTAAATGAACCACTCCTTTCACACTTGCATACTCAAAATCTAATATGGCTTTTTTTTGAGGGTTAGAAACCTTATACAGTATATACCATTATTGCAAAAAAGATAAATTAGCAGTTAATTAAAACAGGAGCAGCAGAGCAATATGCCTCTGATGACAGCAGGCAAGTGGGTAAGCTGGGCAGCTGGCCGGGACACCAGGTAACCTGACTTGTCAAGCAATGTATATGACATGTCTTGACATGTATACATGTCAAGACATACATATACATATACCTGTACATATGTATATGTTTATACATATACATATGACCTTGCTTGACTTGATGCTCATTTTTGTTTCTCAAGCAGTCACTCGTTTTGTTTCGACCCACTTTCCTAGAAGATTTTCTCTCAGTAATAAGATCTCTTATCCTTAACCCCCCCCCCCTCACTTCGTCGAGATGGCCAGATTCTGGTTCTGGCTTCCAGTAGGTCAGTGTGGGACTCGCAGGCCTGCTGAAATTCCTAAAGTTTAGCTATACCAGCGTGTAAGCTGGTATAGCTTACTGGAAACTACGGACGGAAAATTACTGCACCTGCATTTGTATTTCATTATTGCCTCGAGAAATTACATTTTTTTTTTAAATCAAATTTTAGAGGAGTGATCTGGTAAGTGAATTTAATCTCTTAATTAATTAGAGGGCTCCTCTATGTGGATATCCAGATTTTGGAAGATCAATTGAATGCTATACCTGTACTGTAAAGGAGAAGTACATACATCTCCTAAGGAATTTCACATACTCATATTTAACAAATCATATTTAACTGAAAAACAAGTTCAAGTCTGCTGACTGCTCATGAGACAAAAGACATTACAAATGTGGACTGAGCCGGATCAGTGACCCTGGGGCATGCATGGTGCTGCAACCTGGTGATGGTCAGTGTGGGCAGCCTGGCACAGTAGCTGGATCAGTAACACTGGGCATGCATGGTGCTGCAACCTGGTGATGGTCAGTGTGGGCAGCCTGGCACAGTAGCTGGATCAGTAACACTGGGGCATGCATGGTGCTGCAACCTGGTGATGGTCAGTGTGGGCAGCCTGGCACAGTAGCTGGATCAGTAACACTGGGGCATGCATGGTGCTGCAACCTGGTGATGGTCAGTGTGGGCAGCCTGGCACAGTAGCTGGATCAGTAACACTGGGGCATGCATGGTGCTGCAACCTGGTGATGGTCAGTGTGGGCAGCCTGGCACAGTAGCTGGATCAGTAACACTGGGGCATGCATGGTGCTGCAACCTGGTGATGGTCAGTGTGGGCAGCCTGGCACAGTAGCTGGATCAGTAACACTGGGGCATGCATGGTGCTGCAACCTGGTGATGGTCAATGTGGGCGGCCTGGCATGGTAGTTGGGTCAGTTAGTGAGAGCCCTTGTTGACAGTCAACTCACATACCAAGAGAAGTCTGAATTATTACCGATTAATGTAGAAGTCATTCCAGGTTAACTGTTCTCATTAAGTGTTCTGAAGTGTCTGCTTGGCATTTATATGACCCTATTTGAACATATCTCCATGCTGTATGTTAGCCTGTCTGAGTACAATCTTATTCAAGGACTGGTTGATCATACGTTTAGAAGAAACTGAATATGAGAGTTTAGAAAGACAAGTTTAAGTGTACAGTGGAGACAAGCTTTACATAATTTACTCATAAATGTAGCAAAGTGCAAAAACTATTTATTGTACTGTATTTGTGATTGATGAATAAGAATGTATGTCTAGATTCAATAAGCTTGAAGTGGAAGACAACACAATAATGGATAACAACTTTGAGGATGACTAATGAAAGCTGTGGCAATGGAGATGCAGTAGCCTTGCATTTTAGAAATGAATCCCCTAGTTATTTTTTTTTGCAGTGTCTTGGAAAAAATGAATAACAAAAATCAATAATTTTTGCAGTGTCTTGGAAAAAATGAATAACAAAAATCAATAACTTGGTATGGTAAATACTGTATATGCAAATACCAAAACCACTTGCAATACTCACTAGGGGTAACTGTTCGGTTGAGCCTAGCAATTAGCTTGGCCCAGCGGGAAACATGGGGAATGAGATCTGCAGGTAGACTCATAAGATTGGTGTTTTCCCAACCTTCATGCAAGCGACCTACTCCCAGTGATTCATCCATAATACTTCTCAACTGTGAAGATGACAAATATAAGAGAGAATTACAAAGAAATAATTCTTTGATCCTAAAAAACATGTATTTGTACAATATACACAAAATAGATATTATGGCAGCGAACTAGATGGGAGGGTTATATTATTACTCCTTCAATGTGTATACAGTACTGTATTTTCTACCAAACAATCCTAATTTCTCGGTATATGGAATCTTTAACATTTGGAGCATTTTATAATACGACTGTTACCTCATGAAGGACTTGGTGAAAGAGTAGCAAGTGAAGGTGCATTGCTGAATGAGAGGACAAAGTAGACATTTGAAGGAGCCACTCAACTTGCCCCTGGCACTCTGAAACAGCTTTTCTTATGGAGTCCCTGGATAAAAAGTAAAGAAGGTTAACAGTTAATGTGATGTCTAATGATGATGACAATTTTCGAAGTACAGTACACTAAGAAATTTTCTAAGGCCAAGTGAAATCTCAGCAAACACACAACATAACAGTCCCAATGATTCCCTTGTTACAACTTTTAATAAAGTTGTTACATCTTGCTATAACATTTTTATGACATATTAGAACATTGTTACAACTTGCTCTATTGGTTGTTACAATTGTTAGATGGTGCTGAACCTTGTTCAAACATTGTAGCAACGTTGTAGTTTCGTCACGTGTTTGGTGGGATTAGCCCAAAAGGCATGGGAAATGCATCCTGGAGGTATCTCCAGTTTCAACGAATGCTTCACTACAACATATTGAGGTTAGTTGAATACAGTTGGTGTACTGTATTTCCCTTTTGTATTCTCTGCAGAAATGCATTATCTTGACAAGTTCTGATACAGACCAAAAACTGCAAAATCATAGTCCAGATACTACTGAATGGACAAGGCATCTGGAAATGCAGCTGTGGAGGAATTAAAAAATCCCCCTGCCTGGAACATATCTGGAGAGGTTCTGGGAGTTCTTTTACTCCCTTAAACTCAACCCGGGGCCAAGCTCAACTTGCGACAACTTGGTCCAACAGGCTGTTGCATGGAGGGGCTCGCTGATCCACATACCAATTGACACCCAGTTAGTCTGGCACGTCTTGCAGGAACCAAATTGCTTTTTTTATCTTGAAATAGACTTTCCAGATTTGGGACTAGCCCTAAACTACATCAATAAAACAAAGGACTTCATTCAGACATCTCCATAATCTTGTACCATTCATCCCCATAAAAAATTAATTAGTCCCATAATGGTGGCTCAAGTTAAGATTTGCCACCATTTCCCTTCCCGAACTATATGACCAGATTATTTGAAAAGTCACTGGTCATGGTAGTTGAAGTAGTTTGTCCTGGCTGGTAACAAACATCTCGGAATGTTTAACGTAACTAAAATTGGAATGTAATAAGAGAGATTTATTACCTTGAAGTTGATGGCTGGGGATAAACTGTCGAGGTAAAAGAATGGAGGAGGACAGTGTTGATATCTTGAAACCTCTTCCATATGACCCAGTTCTGGCCTCTGGACCAGTCCACCAAGTTGACTGCAGTGCTTAAGCTCGCTGTTACTCCAACAGGGTCTGCAGAGTCAAAGTGTGCCAGAGCTCTATAAAAAAAAAAAAAAAAAAAAAAAAAAAAAAAAAAAAAAAATGAAAATCAATGGACAAATTGTATACAAGTGATAAAATCAAACATAATAATAATTAGTAGTATTGCATAGCAGAAGCTGGTTTAAACAAATTTATACTTCTGAAATTTAAATAGGCCTACTAGTTGACTTATTTGTAGGTATATGTGAATGAAAGATTTGTTCATGCTCACTGAGACCTGTCAATATGCATTCTGATAACCACATAACAAAGATTCTTATATCAATATGATAAACAAATATGAGTTAAGCTCAACACAGATAACCAGGGAACATGGAGACTTGTAAGCAAACACATGTAGAGCAAATGTTTGTATAGACAGATTAGATAAAAACTTGTCTCTTAACTGAGGATAGGGTACTGCATGCCAACTGAACATAAGATCCAATCAAGAAGAATGTGACATGATCTGGATTTGGAACCCATAGGCAAGCCTGGTGCTGCCACCTGGAGGCGAGTAGCTGGTTTGGACAAGTGGCAGTTTGAGCTCTCATGATGCCTTACATGATGGTCAATATTGGGCTAGATTGAGCAGGTAAGTTTGAAAAGGTCGCTGAAGTGCTGTTTGGAAGTTTACGTTCTTGAGTTGTCATGATTTCTGGCAGTGACTAAGAAGTCACTGCCAGAATGCTAGAGCTCATAAATAATGTCAGATAAAACATATTAGATTTTTCTACTGCTATCCAATTAGTATTTATTGGTTATACACTTACTGAACGTGTGCAAGGTTTCTGTATGTGTTAAGAAGACCAGTGTGAAATGCAGTGCTCTCCGATTCTTTCTGATTACTTCGTACTTGCATCATCCATTTTTGTAGTTCTCCCCAATGGCTTAGTTTACTGTAACATTCTGCAATCTGAAAGTTCCAAAAATGCAAAGCTAAAAATATAAAACACAAGACTTGCAGAACAATATATTTATGGTAAACAAATTTAATGTCAGAGAAATAAAAATATATTCATATATCATGAATGCCCTTGCCTGAAGAAGAGGCATAGGAAATGAAGGAGCACAGAAAGGAAGATGTAAGCAGGAAGAATAATTTAGGGAATAGGGAGAAGCATAGGAAAACTGTCCCAAAAAGTTTAAGTCACTTTTCAGAAGAAAAAATGACTTAAGATGTTTACCGAATGACTCAGTAAAGTTTACTGAAGATGTTTACTGAATGACTCAAATACTGACTGGGATCACCATGTACCAGTGGGAGATTCAATTATTGTAAAGTACTGTACCTAAAACATCTTAGGATGATATGCATACCATAGATGGATTGAACATCTGAAGATGGTATGCAGATTTCAAGAATTAATCACAGAAAGATAGACACTGGATAACCAAGGACACTTACAAGAGTTACATTTTTACATTCTTGTAAAGCCAGTAGCACGCATAGTGTTTCGGGCAGGTCCTTAACCCTAATTTCCCCAGAATACGACACCGCCGAATCGTTTAAAACCAGGTACCCACTTACTGCTGGGTGAACAGAGGCTACAGTTAAGGATTGGCGCCCGGTCAATCCTCCTCGGTCAGGCTTACAGGGTAGGAAACATTGAAAGCAAAGCTGGTCTAAACAGTGGACAAGTAATTCTTGAGGCAACATATTACAGAGTCAACAGGAGGAAGGTAACATGACCCACCAGCAACTGGAGATCTGGTGTTTACCTACAATGAGGATTATGTCGAGGAGAGAGTACGAGATGCCTACAGGAGCCAGCAATCACTTTATTATTCTGTTAAGAGTACATGGTGGGGCTGAAGAAGGAGGGGGGGTTGACCAAGAAACAAGTAAAGGCAAAGGATTTTAGACAGGGATTCCAGGAACGTTAGGGAAAATTTACCAGTGTGGTGCAGACAAAGAAGGGATATCGACCTGGATGAATGTGAAATGTCGGGTACCACAAGGATTGGTCCTCCAACTATTACTGCTGCCCACATGAGTGAACTTGTATACATCTGATTTCAGATAATGCAAAGATAATGAAATATATGAAAACCTAGGAAGACTGCAGACATTTATGGGAAGACCAAAACAAACTCAAACAGTGGGGCTGACCCACTTTTTAGACTCTTAAAAATAGTCCAACATCAACGTGTATATGGTAAGTAAAATGGGAAAGGGACATAGGAAACCAGAGGAAATTTACACCATATGGGAATGGGACTTGTAGACTTGGATAGGAAAATATCACACACACTTGGTTCAGGACATAATTCCTACACTAACACCAAACACATAAAAAGGGTAAGGAAGTGGAGAGGAACAAAAGGAGGAGGAGGAGGAAGGTACATTAATATTTGAGGGGCAAGTGTGGGGAGATATGTGGAAGAAATAATGGGAGTGAATATTCATACCTGGGAATATATAAATTCTTGGATGAGAGGATCTAGCTGCTTGACATCCACATGGTTGCCAGTGGCCCCATGTGCTATCCCAGCTTCATTCTCCACTGTTTTTTCCTTGTCAACATCTTCTGTTTCTTCAATGCCTTCTAAAAACTGCTGGTAGCCTCTCAGGGCCTTTTCATACCTGAAGGAATTAATTTAGAATTAATACTAATGGCTTAAAAATACACCAATTCAAAACAAGTTGTCCTCCTATATTGTTAAAAAAAAACTAGAGCACAGGAAAAGCGTCCAATAAATAAAGTCCATTTTTAAGATGGGGAATGTTTTCTGGAGGCCTTAAATACAGAGTGGGAACACTGTACCAGTGGGAGCTTCAAATTTTGCAAAATTCTTTGAAGATCTTAGGATGGTATGCACATAAGGGTAAAAACAATAGTATTTAGCCCAACATTAGTACACTGGGGTGTTTGAACACCAAAATAAAAATTGGATACCCATACTCTACAGTTGGTAACCCTGATATTGCAGATCTTTCAAGTACGATCCTGAATTAATGGGTGGAGTAAGCATATTCGTTGTGACCAAAGCAAGGTGTGCACAAATTGCATTGAATGCACAAATATGAAATCACAGGAGGCCTCTCCTATACAGTGATAGAGTATGCAGCTGGCAATGCCTTGGTTGTGGGTTCGCATCGCCTTATAGCCCCAGTGAATTTTCTCATTGATATAAATCACGTTAGTGTGATTTTCTGTGTGTATTTGATATTGGAGTGTACGGTGTTGAACTACTTTGCCTGCACCCGAGTGCTTGGGGTCATATGTAAAATGTATGTGTAGCATTTTGGGAATATGGGAAACATACAGTAAAAGGTTAACAAGGATAGTCTATGCTACATAGGTGAAATGAGTAAATCAGGTAATTCCTAATAGGTAAGCATCTAACAGTAACTGCAGGAGAGCGAGATACAGCTCTTCATGACCCAACTTCTACATTTGCTTTACAGGGTGCATTTTATCCTTACTGTTGTTCAAATGTTTTGTCCTATCAGGTCTTGAAATTGTGGCTAGAGACAGCTTCCACAATTACTGCTTTCAGTGATTTCCACTTGTACTCTGGACAGGCAGTCAACAATTATTTTCTTACATTGATTTGATTCATCTGTATTTCCAGCTTCCATACACATATCCCTTTGTCCTACTTCCTTTCACTTTCAAGAGACTGGCCTTAACCGCAGTATCTTGTATGTTGTGATCATATCCCAATGTTCTTTATCTCCAGTAAGGATGCGAGATTAAATTCCCTTAGCATGTTCTTGAAGCTAAGTCTTCTTAATGTTGGCACTTCATGTTTTGTGCTTCACTAGCGATAAACACTTAAAAGTAAATTTAATAAATCACAAAGATAAAACTGACGTCGGCACTAAAAAAAAAAAATTAACAGTTCATAAACAGATTATTTAAAAATTAATAAAAAAGTTGAATTAAAATAACAAATCACTAAAAAGTGTGCTGAGAGGGTTGCAAAGTGATAGACTTGAAGATTACTGGTCCTCCACGTACAGTAACACTCTACCCTCGGCATCTTGGACACTAGCTTTTGGCAACAACATTAATACTACACACAACTGTACATTAGTACAGTTTTTCATTCATTCTGTACAATACTCTAATGTTTTAATTTACAGAACTTAGTGAACATGTATTGTGATGTAATTTCACAAAATCCATTATACTTGAAGGTGGATAAATATGTCAGTACAGTATCTCAAAAGAATTTAACTTGTATGACTACTGCCACAAATATAAATGACTACTACCACAAATATAAATAAAAAACAAAAAAATGTCAAATAGTATTTTGAATGCATCTTACTTATTGCCAGCACTGTAGACTGCGGGTTTAAGCCAGGCAAATCGTCGGCCAATGTGATCGCGGCACCAATAGTAGAGTCCCGACACTCCTTCATCACAACCTTCAGCCACTAATGCTCGGGCACAGTAACAGATGGCTCGCTCAAAGTCATTTCCCTGATGGACATATATAAGAAAAATATAGCAGTCAATATATCTAGTTAAGAGAAATGGTTGGATAGAATCCAAAGTACTGATAAAAACAGAAATGTGGATTTTATATCATCAGTGCAGATATTATTTGTAGATGATATTTTGCCTACAAGGGCATTTTGAGACCTGATTTAATGAAGTCCTTACAGGGAAGATGTCATCTAAAAGTACATAATACTTCTTCTCGTGTTCACATTTCTTTACGTAGTTCGATTACTGTTTTATCCATCAACCTATTTAACGTACAATAGGAATAATCCTTATACTAAGAGGAAATTACATACATTTTAGGAATCACATTTCTAGAAAGTTAACTTGATTTTATTACACCATGCGAGTGTATGATGTATTTAGCCAATTAAAAATAATAATCATAATTTGTTATTACAAAATGATACTTTTTCATACAGAAAAATCTTTATGTTTCATGCATATCGAGAGATTGCCAGGCGAGGTGATTTGTTCTGTGGGTTGCACGTTATGGTGTGTTCCGCATGGATTGGTTGCTTCTAGGTAGTAACATTGAGGAGCTACTAAGTAGCCCACTAGAAAGAGAGCCATTTCATTACCTTCAATGTTGGAGTTCTCCATCTTTGGTAGAGAATGCCCAGTTCATATGCTTAACCTGAATCACTAATAATTAAAACCGTCCTACCTTGATTACCAGTGACGTTCATTATATCTTAAATCTTTATTTTTATTACCTTGGTCTTTGATAATTTCATAGACTCTTAATGCTATTGCTGAGAAAAAGTATTCTAAATATCAGAGAACCCATGATCTTATTCTAATCCTAAAAAGGCAATTCTAAATAATAAAGTAATTACCTGAGTATTGTTGTTATCCTTCAATTCTTGGAGAAGCTTGTATGAGTGTCGGATTGCTACCTCAGGCCGTCCACAATTAAGAGCAACAATTATAACTGCAGCTCGTATACGACTCAACCATTCGGTACATGTCTGACGATTTGTTCGAAAGAAAGTTCGAACACTCTGATGACAATAAGGAGAGAAAAATCAGTCTTATTTTAAGTGTCTGGTGTACTAAGGCATGACAAATTTATATAAACAGTTAATTTAAATATGAATGTTTTAATAAGTACATAAGACAATTTGTTTTAACTGTGTTCCTCAAAATATGGAGCCCATAAAACTAAAAACCCCATCACTTTTGTAGCTATAAAAACTGTTAAGTCCATAACTGAGGAACCCATTCCTGTGCACCCAAATTGAGAAGAATGAATGAATTTGACATGCATCAGGACTGATTACCTTTGGATTTGAATCTTGGATTTGGCCTTTTAATAAATTCTACTAAAATTTGCTGTTAACCAAAGACCTATCAACATCAATTACCTTATTTGGTGGGGGAACTGCAACAGCACATCCATCGCTAGCATTAAACATGGCTTTTTCAAGACTCTCAACAAACTCAACCAGTAACATGACAGATAAGGACTGAACTTTCACACTACTGTTCTCGCCATCATTTTTATCAGTTCCATTAATGCTCCTGGTGGCTGACTTCTCTTCTTCCGTCTTCACAAATGCCTGAGATTTTTCTACATCCTGGCCACATTCCCTTACTTCTTTAGCTCTACTTTTAATCACTCCTGAAGAATAAATATCAATAAATATCAAAGAACAATTCAGGTGAGGATGGTGGATGCCTAAACCATAATGAGCTCCAATATGTCATATGACAAAGATTATATGGATGACAGGACACCACGAGTACAGCTCTTATCCTGAAATTACTCTTAGGTAATTACACTTGCACACAATAGATAGAAAGAACCAGGGGGACATGATCACCACATATAAAATAGTGACATACAGTAGTTCGATAAAATAAATTAAGTTTACTTATTATTGCCTAACAACCTCCCCTCCCCAAAAAGGAGGATATAGGGACAAGATGATGATTAAAAAAAAGTTAGAAAATATATCTGAAAATACTTTTTCAGGAGTAGTGTATTTAGGGAATGAAACAACTTTCAGAAGAATTGATACTGTATACCAAAACTACCGCTAGTTATAAGAAGTGTACATTTCATAAAATATATAAAGACGAGACATGAAAACCATAGCTCCCATCATGTAACTACAATTAGGTTTGTAGTTACTAACTACAATTAATCTGATATTAACATGCATGCACATGAAGGACTAATGACTGCAATTGGGAGTTCAGAAACTGAAACTCATTGACAGTATACATAATTAGGGGGTAAAGTTAGGCGAGTACACAAACATTTATCCTTACCCTCAATACTAGTAAATGTGTCTAGAGGCTTGCCGAGAGTTGTCTTTAATTTATTAGCAATGCAGTGCTGTGCTGGCTCCCATGCTAACCACTTCCACAGCAGCGTGCGCAAGTGTGAGGCCAGAATAGGAAGACTCCAGTCTTCGGCTTTAGTCATCCTCTCTACTCTTTGACACATGGCAAATAGATCATCTTGCCAATACTCTCCCCTGAAAATTATGTAATTCATAAATATACATGGCACTGGGTAAAAATTAAAATTATTCAAAAAGTGTTTAATAGACCATGTACTTGTTGAAAGACGTAAGTGTGGGTGATATGAGAGCATCACTGATCACATTGTTAATTATGTCTCAAGTTGCATGAAGTTGTGGAAGAATTAGAGGAACGCTTGGTCTAATGAGAAAGAGGCACAATCCATTGATGACAAAACATAAAAATGGATTTTATGAGAAACTGAGCTAGTGAGGCAATACAACGGATGTATGATGAAAATGAAAGATGCGTGAAAAAATTCAGTGAAAAGATGAATGGCATAGTCAAGAATGACCTGGGTAGACAGACAGATTGCAATATCACATGTGACATGGCAACTGAACATATTCTTGATGTGTGTGACAAGCACAAATGTTTACATCCCAAGCCAAACTTCCAATAACAGGAAATGCAGTGGAAAATGTGCTAAGAAAATATCCAATTGTGAAGGCTCTAGCAGTGCACAGTCCTATCAATGGGAACAGCAAAAGTAGGCTTATGAGCAGCCAACTTGTGCAGTTCACAAATGTTTGTACATCGGCATTATAATTAAAAACATTAACCAACATTGCCAAATAATCCATGGAGCAGGCCGCAACATACGATTCAGATTAGCAAGATTAAACTGTAGTGCTAAATTTTTTAATTTGTAACTTTAAAACTTAAAAATTAAATACTATATATATATCAAGCATACTTGGGTTGAGAGGCATGAAGAATAAATGCCATAAGTGTATGAAAAGCATTAGATGGCAGCTGTCCTGATGTTGAACGAAGAACAAAGTGACGTTCCAGACTCTTTACAGAAGTTGAGTCAAGACTGCCAAATTCCACACTTGATGTTGAATCTCCCTGTAATGAGACGCTGTTTGAGATTATGAATCTACTGATGCTGTATCTATTAAGAACATTGCAAATCAGATTTACAAGCAATGAAACTTTAATATATATACTAGTACAGTATAAAAATATTGACTAGGAAGAATGGTAATGTAATTTTATGATATCATAAGTATGAATCTTTTACATTAGTCTAGGCCATTTAAAATCTCGGAGAAAAAGACACTATATTAAATCAGATTTTCTCAGTTGGTTATTTAAGTACTGGTATGTGGAAAAACAGATACAAAAACTTAAAACTATCTAGATTATTATGATGGGAACATTAACTAATGTTATTAGTGCTGCCACATCTGAACCTCACCTAGACTATATTAGGTCATGACTTAAAAGCACAATACTCTCGAGAAAAAACATTTAAGATTGTTTTGTTAAAAAAATAAACAAGTTCCAATAAAACCCCCATGCCATGGCCTGTCACATACCATGCCTAACAGTAATGTTAAATACTATTATTTTATATTTCTTGATGCTTGGATGCTCTTCAAAAATTCAAGTCGACTCAAGTCCTATGCTGTCACATGATGTTGGGTGGCAGTTAGATGGGCAACTGATAACGTGGTAATTTGAGTATACAGAGCTTTTTCTCTCATTAAAAGTGTCCACCATCCTCTTATATGGGTGGGCAGAGGTATATAAAAAAGATACCATCTGGCTAAAGAAATTAAGGGTATATTCTGCCCCTAGTTAGTAGTACAGCCCTATTGGAAAGTGGAACTAGCAAAAAAGGAGCGAGCATGAGACTTAAACTAAGAATGTGTCTATAAAATCACGCCTTGAAAATTATGCACAGGTACTGTTAGAGTCACTGCTCAGTAAGTGTATTTAGAGTTTAATTGTTCAAGACACCATTTTATGACTACTTCATTGAAGTGAACCTGCTTACAAGTATTATACCAACCTTGTTTGCCGTGTACTCATTTTCCTCATTGCCATTGCCCGTGCACAGTGCATGAGATACAGCACTTAGGGGAAGCCTGGCCAATAAATCTAGATACATACTTCTTATCTTGGAATCTTTGTGGCTTACATGGTGCACACATAGCTTTATTATCTCCTCCAAGTTCTGCAAGTAAAAATAACATGAAATGCAATCTTAAATACTGTACTATATTTTGTTGCCTTATTTCATTTTGAGTTCTTTCACACAAGCACATTCTTGCATATACACCTCGCATACAAATATCAAAATGTAGTGTACATATGGAAGTGTAGAAGTTCAAATTAAGTAATATGGGCCAGTATGTGACAAATGTTTTTCACTTGTATCACTCCTATTCTTTCTAACTTCGTTTTTTCTCTTCAGCCAACCCATTTAGTACTCTTGAAATTTTTATTTTTAACTCAAAAACAAAATGTTTTGAATTTACCTGTGATGGGGGCAATATTAAAAAAACTGTAGACAAGCAAGTAGCAACAGCAGAAGCCACAGAACTCAGATGGTGGTAGCCTGTTTGCACAATTGTGTCAATCATCTGTGTGAAAACCTTAATTTTCAGAAGCTGAGGTACAGACGTTTCACTGCTTCGGATCAGGTCTGCGGCCCACTCCAAACACAACTGGAGGATGTTAGCTCCAGTTACATGTCTCTGAAAATTAGTGTATGTCCAATCAATATAATCACAATGAAATGCACCAAAATAAAGGATTTGTATACTGTACATACAAAAGCTGAAACTGACAATTTAAAATACATTTATGTGTAAGCATCAATTTGTTTCTCAATACAGAGATCTGGTGACCCCACTGGTCACCATTGTGAGGCATATTATAAGGGTGGGGGTATGGAAATGAGAAACAATCATGTTATATATTCTCCTAACTAATGGCAATGGTAAGATGTTTTTCCATTCATCTTATCAATACATTGTTTAACTATATTATTCCTATCTTTTTTCAATATATTCTCTGGGTTGTCTCCTCTTTGATCAACTCAGTGGGACACAGGCTAATGCTAAACAAGTACTGAAAAAGTGATTTGTAAAATTAGAGCACAGAATTGCCTTCCTGGAAATGCACCAACAGGAGGCCGAGGAGCTGTCAAGCTACCATGAACACAATCAAGAAGCATGTGAAGAGTAAGGGTTTTGGGGACTATGTTGTGCTGATGGCACTACCATGCAGAGACAGCTGAAGGTATTAGATTGTTAAGCAGGTAGTGGGCTGTTAGGTCAAGAGCGTGTTTAGTAGTTATGTAAAATTAGAAGGGAGAATTTGGACACAACTGAGTTTCTATGAAAGACACCTCCATTACTTATTCCAGGCATGATTGAGCTTATCAGAAAAAAGTTCTTAACTCTGGAGCTAATACTGTACTGTATATAGAAAGAATAACAGTGAAGGCATTAAAATGTGATATATTTTGAACATAAAATTTTGACAAAAAAATTAAGCCTTTAGATTATTTTACATATTTTGGATATGTTAGTTTTATTATCTTTACAATTATGAATTGCTGACTAACCTGACGGAAAACTGCAGTGAGGGTTACAAGAATTGTAGTCAAATTTTCACTTGTCGAGGATCCTGAAAAGCCGCCTGGAGAGCCACCTGAGAAGGCTGCAGACACAGATGATGGAACAAATGGAGATGATGCCCCAACAATCAATGTGCTAGAGCCGATGTAATGAGAATGCTTGGCACAATGCGAATACAAGAGAAACAAAATAGCATGCTGAACCTGCAAGAAGATACATTAAAATCAAAGAGAAGTCTAGAATATTAATATCACTGTTACCAACACTAGATTCCATATTACTTTTAGCTCCACTGTGACAAGGATATTTTAAAATGGTCCCAGCCACATAGTGGGAGTGGAAAAGAGGGAATTATCAGGGGGAAAGCACCAAACCACTACGACTATATAGCACTTAAAATGGGGTCAAGATAAGGATTTGGGAAGGGATGGGGGAAAGGAATGGTGCCCAACCACTTGGACGGTCAGAGATTGAGTGCCGACCTGCATAAAGCGAGACTGTCGCTCTACTGTCCAGCCCAAATGGTAGGGCATAGTGGGAGTGGAAAGAAAGTGATGAGTCTATCTCAAATCATCACCACCGAAGAAAGAATGCATAACAAACCTTTCAACCCTCCTACAAGTGATAAATGGGAATGCAAGGTCTTCCACACACACATACACACGTACATTTCTATGTTCCACTGCTTCATGACATGATAACCCGTCATTTACATGCCTTTGGCTGATAATGTCAATTTCAGCTTGCTTTTAAGATTGTCTTTTCTGGCACTGATCATCAATGACCAATGGCTGTCAGAAATATCTCCTTTGGGACTCTGCACCCCAGGTCAGAGCCTTGGTACTGGTCTCTCTTGGTATACTTGTGATGTGTACAAATTTGGGTGGCTATCCACAGCATATCTTACAAGTAATGCAGTAGTGGTTTTCCCTCGAGATTTGCTAGAATGTGTACCTGTAGTTGGGCTATTATTTTTGTTTCATCTTATTTGCTTAATGTGTAGTGCCCCTCATTTTTACAAATTTCATTGCACTAGTGGTACTGAGTTTGTCGAGTACAGTACATGCCCTCGAGGTTCAGTTTAGGGTGTGAGTTGGCTTTATTTCAGTGGTGATCTTTCTGATAGCACAGATGCTCATGTGGTGTGGGTGTCAGTTCCTTAAGCTGTGCCTGGAACCTTGTTTCATTTGCCAGGTGTGTGTTCCAGATTTCTGAAGTGGCACAAATGTTTCTACTTCCACAAACGCTCCTTCTTTGAAAGGGGCCCTCTTTACTTTCCATATCAGTAGTGTCTTGCATCTTTCTCCACAGATATGTGCCATGTATTGCAGGTGTGCATCTCAGGAGTAAGTACTCTCCTGTATTTTTAGATGCTTTTGTTTTTCAGGTGGGGTTTTCAGTGATCTATGTGGACACACAGACAGGTGCAACCTTTGGTGTTGAGGGGTGTGTGCGTGCACCATGGGATCCTTCACAGATCTCAGCCACTTGTCTCTTTCTGGTTCCCTGGGACTGTCTTCTGTGGGGGTGCTCTTTGGGCCACCCACGTGATTTGTCAGTTCTTCAGGTGTATTTTGTTCTTACTCAAAATTCTTCACCGGGTTTTTTGTGCACCTGGATTGAGCCCAGGCTCCTTGGTGTTCTCCCCCAGCTTTCCAGGTGTGTGTGTGTGTGTGTGTGTGTGTGTGTATATACCCTTGGTTTCAGGGTGTGTGACCCAAAGGTGTTTAGATTGTTTTTATTTTCCCCACTTTTTTTCCCAGTGTTTCCCTATTCCCTAAGGTTTCTCAGTTGACCTCTTGTGTGCCACGTGTCCCTAAGTAGATGTCTGTGGCTCTCATTTCTTTATAATTTTTTGGGTATATGTTTAACTATATTATTCCTAACTTTTTTCAATATATTCTCTGGGTTGTCTCCTCTTTGATCAACTCAGTGGGACACAGGGTAATGCTAAAGAAGTACTGAAAATAGCATAAAATACTGGCCCCATAGTATTGTGGCCAGTGCTTGAGCTGTCAACCTCAGGTCTGCGATATCATCACAGTCCCCTCCAATTGCGTCTTTACCTTAGCAGGCATGTTGATTCTCAGAATCATTAACAAGTACGTATATGATGGGTATACCTCTTGGACTTGCCTATGATGCATAGAGAAATGTTGCCCTTGTATTACCGGTCACTAGTGTTTGTCATCAGAAGAATCAGCTGAAATTTTAACTGATATTGCAAAAAAGGCCAATAACATTGACACTAATATATCAGTACACCTCTACAAGAAACTATGATGATCAGGAATGACTGCTAAAATATTGCAGATGGAAAGGAAGGGAGGGGAGAATAAAAAACATTACATGAATATTTAAAATTGCATGTATGATACGAGTATTATAAACATACCTCTGGATAATGTAATGCTAAATGCGAACTGGATGGTGTAAGGTGAGTGGCCAGGAGGTCAACTAACGGCGGAGTAAGGGCCCACATCGTGATTATGGAATTCCGAGTGTTAGCCACCTGTAAGTACATAACCCTTATTTTCATAACACAGTAATTAAATAAAAACAAATTAGAATTCACTGTGATTTCATGAAAACCAGCTTAAATTTATTTTGTAATAAACAATTGTTATTATGTAGTGATCAATAAATGCAACCAACCTCTGCAAGGACTGTCATGTAATACATCATCAATATTGTTGCTTCATTCTCATTATAAGTGACACCTTGTAAGACACTTGAGGTGGTAAATGCATCACCCTCGGGTACCAAAACACGGTGGGCAAGCTGGAAAAAACAAAAAAACTATTGATCAAAAAGACAATATTTAACCAAAGTATTTTATAGTAAGGAACGTTATTTCATGTACCAGCACAAAATAAGCCTGGATTATGCAGTGCACATCTTTGTCTGTCTTGCATACATGCTTGACCACTTTCAACTACATGCCTAGCAGTGCTATTTGTTATTTAGTGCTCAACAATGCAGTTGATTACAACTGAAACAACTTTATCTAAAAAATTAATGTAGTTTTCAAATTTCAAATTCCTTGTATTGTAATTCACAGACGATCCTTACTATCCTATTAAAACCTAGATCATCAGTTAACATTTAAAATATTACAAATCTGTAACTAATGTACAGTACTTGGTTTTGTGAGTATTATTTCATACAATACAAACTACAAATCAGATCCCATGCTAATATGAACAAATAGCTGATAAATACTGAAATCAAAGGAACAAGACAAACCTGTAGATCAGCTAGAATGTAGTTATAAGCTTCCTGTAGCAAAGGCACATTCTTGAGGCCGAGAACTGCATGATACACTCCCAGAGTTGCCTGCCATATTGAGCGATGCGGTGATAATCGTAGACTTCGTATAGGAGAGTCTTTGCCAAGTATCTTTTGCATGAACTCTACTGATAGGCTACTGCCAATCTGCTTCAACATCTATATGCATAAAAGAACATATTCAGGAGGAAGACAATGTGAGTCAAAAGGATTAGTTTGATAGGATTGAAGCATAAAGCAAAGTGTTGAACAAGGCGACCATTCAATGCTAATATTAATTCCATGTAAACAATGTTAATGTCCAACTTTCACTGAAACAATCAAGGAATGAAAGATACAGACACACAGATGAAAACCTACAGATATAGGAATTCCTTGTTTCATAGCAACTCAAAATACATAATTCTATTATAACATACCTGTACATATAAATATACATATAACATACATACCTGTACATTAGGGAACAAATTCTAAATATACTGACATTTTTACTGTATTACATTAATGACCAAACCCCACATCAGGAACTAACAAAACAAGGACGTTTCAGTCCACCCTGAACCAAAATGTCACTGTTCCTTCATTTTCTGATGTGTGGTTTGGTCATCATATCTTCAGCCATATTATTGTGACTCATTCTCTGTGCATTACGTTAAATTCATACCCGTGAAATCCGTATTCTTTAAATAGTAAATTACAAAAAAATGTAAATAAAATAAACCTTCACTAGCAATCAGCCAGCCAGGTGTATTGTGACTGGTAGAGGAGGTAGCGGACAAATAGGACTTGCATTAAGTCCTATTCGCAAATGAGTAACTCTATATGAGCACTATGATTGTATGAACACTATGATGCTCTATACTTTTTACTACCTACTCCTATATGATCCTTATTCTCCTCTCCCCTATATACTCTTATCCTCTACTCACTTTACTATCTCTTCTACACTTTCCATTTTTTATTTCAAAATTTCATTCTCTTGATTGTATATATGAGAAGTGATGAAGAATTTAAGGCTGGCTGGCTCTATGGCTAATAAAAACATATTCATTAACACACTTCATGAGAAAACTGGTACAATATATGGAATTTTGCATTATTATCAATCTTACAGGAATGCATCTGTTATTGTACGAGGATGCCTGTAAATACATAGTTAAACATTAAAATGACAAATGCACATATTTTAAAACACACGTTGAATGTAATGAAACACCTTTCTCTGGCAGGCTCTCAGTAGCTTCCTGGTGGCTAAGTGCTGGTAAAGTCAAAGCCTTCAGAATCACGCAGGTCTCCGAGACAAACTGACCTACGGGAAGGTTGGGACCTGCAATTGGCTATTTTATGAAACAAGGGAGATTGGGATCAGATATATACCCAAAACTGAGAGAAACCCAACAGAAATATTAGGCAAAGCAAAATGAGCAGCAACCTAAAAGAAAAAATGAGCAAGACTGATAGAATGGGAGGTCGGAGGCCAGGTCAACGACAGGCCTGCGGGGTCGCTGAGCTCCGAAATTATCTCAAGGTATGGGTGAATTACCTGACTAAATATGCCTGGTTGCCAGCAGATGGTAACCCAGATCACCCTAGGTCCCAGCCACCCATCCATCTCACTCATAACCTGCCTATATTGAACCCCAACACCCCACAGGGAAGAAGAGAACAGGGCTAGGGTGGAAAGCTATCTAGGCTCCACCAGAAAAGGCAAATGATTACAATTAACATGACTGGGAAGCAACCCAGAAGTACATTTCAGAGAAATACAATTATAGTTTAAGGGGGCGTCAGGTTGTCAGGTCAAAGTTGTTCAATGTCAACCAATATTATTTGACTAGTTGTATATGAAAAGTGCTTTAATTGCCCCAAGTTTCAGTACTGCAGCGTAAATAGAAAGGGAGATTTTTTTGTTTTTGTTTTTTTCAACGTTTTTTACACATTTTTAAGTCCACACTTCAGAACACACGTTTCAGATATAATTATTCTGTGACACTTTCCTGACACATTAGCATATAATAAAGGACCTTGACATATAAAATTTTGAAAACATCTTTAGTTTTCCTAATACAAATGTTCAAAGTTCCCAAATTTTTTTTTGCAAATATGGCATGTTTATTGCTATTATAAAATCAATAAATGAACTTAGAGAAAAACGAAAACTCTCCAATGTAGAGACATGCCCTCCACATATACTGTGTAAGTTTCATGTAAATTGAATAAAAAATGAATCAGTTTTGTAAATGTTTGTGTCAATTGAAAAAAAACAGAAATGAATAAAGTCTAAGGTTCTAAAATTTGTGGCTGAGGTTGACATCAACCAATTTTCTCCAAAATTGGCATCCTTACAGATAGGCTTACGTACTGTCAGGTGTGTAAGTTTGATGCAAATCGCCCGAAAAAAAAAAGAAAAAAAAAGAAAGAAAAAGAAAAAAATGTTTTTTTTTATTTTTTTCTTAAAATTTTTTTTCAATTAAACTAATTATAATATTTGTTTAATATATGCTATTGTGATAGAAAAGAGTCATAGCTATGATTTCAGTTGACACTTTTGATTGATAATCGATTTTGACCATTTTGGCATAATTTTCACAACTACTTCAATATTTTTTTTCTCCCTTCCTATTTATGCTACGATGCTGAAACTTGGACCAGATGAAACACTTTTCATATAGAACTTGTCAAAAAAATGTCATTTGAATTTTTGCTTTTTTAACTCTTAGAACTTCAGCTCTCCATACTCATTTATTAAATATATATATATTGTACATTGCAGGTTATGAAAATCTTCACACACACACACACACACACACACACACACACACACACACACAGTTAAAAAAAAAATTGACAAGCCAGCCAGTAGAATAATAATGGGTGTAGTGGCCATGACATACCTGCGTGAGGAGTGTGAGGTAAGAGAGAGTTGTGACAAACCCAAAATGCTCTATGAGATTCTGCTGCAAGTCAATCACTGCACAAAAATGAACTTGAAGGTCTGGGATGTTTTGACTATATGGAATAAGAACCAAGCATACCTGAAAAATAATTTTATATCAGTATTGTACTGTATAAACGACACTAGATATGTTTTGATTGAAACCGATCAAGGGAGAAATCCCTAGTCCCTATGCTAATTATCACATTTATCAATATAAAATGGCTTGAATATTCTTAAAACAAAAAATGCCACCCCCCTCTCTCTACACATTAAAATATAGAGGGACAGGTGGTGGTGGTGATAGTTTAGTGGGCAATGGTAGAATTGGTGTAGGTGATGCTTACCTAACACTGCTTACCTAATAGTGACTTAAAGTGAGGTCTAGCTCTTCATGACCACCGAGTAGCCTTGTTGTATCTATTGCATTTTAATTTAACTTTCCTAATGTTTGAATTATTTGTTGAATTTGGCCATAAAATTGGTTGTAGATGGAGGTGGCTTTCGTGACCTCTTCTTTCACTGTCAATGCATTCCACATGATGGCAACCGATACAGTGTATGAGTATTTCCTTACATCTCTCTGGTTTATTTGCATTTTCAGCTTCCAGAACGGCAGAGATTTGTATAAGTAGGGTCTCACCAATACCTGAAGGGTGATACTAATTTCTCTTGCTGACATATCATATTATCAATCCAATCAAAGCAATCGCTGTTTGCTTTATTTCGTGCATAATGCATTACTGTTCTGGCCTCAGGTTGCTGCAAACCATGACTTCTGGTCTATCTCACAATTTCATATCAGTTTATCCTTTCAGTTTAGTCCTCTTCATTTATGTACTGTACTAATCTGGTTGCACACCTCTGTACACTCTTTTGTGCTTCACAAGATGCTGATTCCATGCTGGAGCTGCATCATTAGCACTGTTTCACAGAGACTGTAAACATTATCTTAAAGGAGTCTTTGTTTAGATGTGTCAGTGCTATTAATTAGTTTGCCAGGTTCACACACATGCCGTAGATGTTATCCGGTATCTATACCTCTAGCATTAACCATGGAGTTATAACCACTCCTTAATCTCTCTTCCTATCCAATTCCTATAACTGCATTCCCCATATGTTTTGGTGTTGTTGATGTCTTCTCGTCTTCTATTGCCCTTTCTCTTCTTCAATACCTTGCACTTTTTCAAGTTGAACTCTTAACTGTTATCTGTATGCTGACACTCAAGAGTTTGTCGAGTCAAAACTGGAAACACAATTGAGCACAAAATGTTGTACAGAAGTAATCCTTAAGTCTACCAGTGAACACGTAGAATGAAACAAAAGAAGGGATGGCTAACATCAATTCGCTCCACAGGAAGCCTGTTAGGTTCATTGAGGTCCTTCCCCCCCCCTTATATATGATAAAGTTGTAGGATACTGAGAGTAGTGTTGCGCTAGATAGCCAAAATTGGATAAACAAAGCCCCAAGAGCTAATCCCCTCTATCTGCAAGCACATACAGATAACAAAACACATACAGATACATACAAACACACTCAAACATACACAAATTACACAGACCATACAAGTACACATGCATGCATATGTATAACAACAAAACAAGGCAACTTAATAATACTTGATTAAGAGCATCCAGCAAAGCTTCTTCCCAATGATGTCGTAATATTTTGGCAGCTCCAGACTTCATCTTTCCAAGGGCATCCACTAAAAATTTTGATGAGAGGATAGGATTTATTGTAGGGTCAACCTGTGGCTCCAAGCAACGCAGCACAGTAGTGAAGACACTGGAAACAAGAAGACCATCTTAATGATTTTAGGATAAAGCTGCTGTGAATCACCCACAAGCATTCTGGTCAACACTAGAGACTCATTACAGATCTAGTCTATAAAGCTTATATTTAAGGATTTCTTCAATAGCTTCTAGTACTTCCCACTTCTTTTTCCTCCCTTACTTTTTTGGAGTTTGTGGAGAGTTTGTCTTCTTTAAGACATTCTTATAAAGAGGGAAAGAGGGAGGGTAGGGGGGAAATAAGTAAAGAGAAAGAGACGGAAAGGCATGCTCAGATAGAGCAACTGGAACATCAAAGTAAATGTTAAAGTTAACACTAACTAGTCGCAAACATTTGCATAGAATAGAAAGCCAGAGATATTTACCTGATAAAAGCAGCTACCTTCTTAGCACACACTACAGGGTCTGTTGTAGCTTCCTCTTCAGGAGAAGATCGACCAGACACTCCTCTGTCTAAATCCTGCAAATGGAAAACCCTTCTACATGAAACGCAAAGTAAATTACCTAACATGGTTGCCTGTTACACTTACGAAGGTCCCTCTAGGACAACAACTGATCTTTCCCAGAATGCATCCTACAACTGTTGCCCAACTCCCAATTACCTATTTACTGCTAGATGAGCCAAGGCATCAGATGAAAGGAAACATGCCCAAACATCTCTGTCATGAACAGGAATTAAACC